CCCTTTTATGACTTGTGGACTTCAACTCCCAGAATTCCTCAGCCAGGTATGCTGGCTCAGGAATTCTGGGAGTTGAAGTCCGCAAGTCATAAAAGGGTCACATTTGAAGACCCCTGGTTTAGGCTAAAGAAGAGTAGGCTAAAGGAAACCATGATAGCAATGTTCCAATATATGAAGGGGTGTCACAGAGCAAAGGGCATGGCTGTATTCCACATAGCACTCAAGGGTAACAATTGAACCAGCTGATGGATGCTTTGGGAAGGCCCAAACTTAAAATAGGAGGAATTGTTGGCTGTTAGAGCTATTAAATAGTGGAGCAGCTTGCCCTTTGAAGTTGTGAATGTTCCATCGCTGGAGGTTTTCAAGAAAATATTGGAGAGCTACTCGTCTAGGATATGTCAATTTTTATACTGGACAGGATGCTGGATTGGAAGACCTCTACGATCCCTTCTGATTTTATGAAACTTAGCGTTTCCATGAAAGGTTCAAACAAGCGTAGCCCTAAAGCTGCTTTTGAAACCAATTAGCAGAGCATGTTCTGCGTCTTCTGGACATTTTTATTATAAATGTTCAGATTTTTTAAAAAAGAAAAAACCCAATGGAATAAAATGTTTACAATAGGAAAACTCAGTTTTTACCATCCTCATTTGGCAGAACATCCAGACTGTTCCCCCCCCCAGATATTCTACAAATGTTGATTAAAAACCTCTAAGAGAAAACAAAATGTTAATTTATTTCTATGATTGAGGATGCTTATGTAAATTACTAACTTTTACGTTGTTTCTGTGATGAGCTTTTCTATAGCCATTAAAAGTCAATGCATCTTCCACTTTTCTTATGCATAGTTTAATAGTTCCTGTCTTCCCATTAGGTCAGTTCCCACCATATTTATTTTAGCTGGCAATATATATATCTACATAATTTATTCCTATTCAGTGTCTCCTCTTAGGATATGGACATCCTTGTGCCATAAAATCTGTATCCATAATATGTGCATTCTATACAAACGAAGTCAAATTAGGAAATTTGCTCTATTTCCCACATATATATTTTAACTTATAATATATAGAATATATGTTGCTTCTTTGGTATAATGTACTTCAGGCAAAGGAAGCAGCAAGGTCATTAGAGCTCCATGCCTTGAGTGGAAATGTTATTTAGGATTTTTCAGAATTCAAGAACTTTCATCTACTTTTTATTGGTCAGGTACGAGAGCTAGAAGCACCCTTTCCATGTTTAAAAGTGGGGATCGCCATAAAATTAAATACTGCACTAAATACCCTATCTTGGAGGTCATCGAGTCCAACCCCCTGTTCAGGCAGGAAACCCTACACCATTCTAGACAACCTCCAGTGTTCCAGGTTGAATTAAAACAAGAGTTCTCTTAAGTAATGACAATTACATGATGAACAAAGAATTGGAAGGAGATGGCTTTCAGTCCTATTTCATAAGGTTCTGGAAAGTGAAGATTTCCTTTCCTAGGGCAATCTTTTCTGGGAGCAGATTTTGGAGTTGCCTGGGAATTGCAGAGTAAAACCTGCTTATACTGTGATGAACTGATTTAAATTTAAGTGTGAAAACTTAGACAAAGTTTAGAATAACAAGAGTGGTTTCAATACACCCACTTACAGTAAAACTGTTGGTATCTGTTTGAACATTTTTTTGCTGATCCCAAAATAGTCAATTTCTTCGGATGCAGATTTCTTAGCAGGCTAGATTTATGACTGACTTCAGCAAAATTAGAAGTAATATTGCTTTTTTCAGTACAGGCTGATTTTGAATTCTAAACGAACTGAGGACTATGAAATTGGGGTCAGCTATCATATCCCAGGCAGGCGTGTACAGTTAATTATAAAGGAGGCTGGCAAACTTTTTTTTTTAAATTCTTGTATTAGAGCTACAAAAATTCATTGGCTTCCATTTCTCATCAAGTTAACTTTTTCTGCAGTAAAGCTATGGCCTCCTCTGTAACTACAGAATTAGTGCCACAGAACTGCACATACCTTGCAAATTACAGCAATTGCATACAGAAAGACTAATTTTATGGCTAATACCAATATTGGCACCCCAGTGTGTAGGCAGGTTCTGACCAACTGAGAAAGCCTTAAAAGCCCACGTTCACTCACATGATTTGCCCTACTTCCCATTGTGCAACTCTAGCATTGAGGAACTGCTCCCTTATTAATATGTACAAGGAAGCACATAAACGCTTAGGGCCAAAAACAGTTGAACCTTACTTACTACTTGCATGATTATATCCAAAGGTGCTTGGGTATAATCAACTGGGCTTGGTCTTTTTCCTTGAAGACATTTCACTTCTCATCCAAGAAGCTTCTTCAGTCTTCAAGGAATATCTTCAAGGAAAAACAAAAGTTCAGTTGCCTTCTCAAAAAGCAGCTTTAGGACAACCATGATCTGGATGACTGAGAATCTCTATAAACATGCATGATTATACTTCTATACCAGGGGTGTCAAACTCACAATGTCATGTGACGTGTTGCAACATATTGTGACTTTTTTTCCATTGCCGGCAATGGGGTGGGTGTGGTTTCGCCATGATGCATCCAGCCCACAGCCGGTAGTTTGACACCCGTTCTACACAGGCAGCAATGCGATAAATTTTGCTGGTATATTTGCTGTATGGATGAAATATAAAAAACTGTATTATACCCTAGATCTGCAAGAACTCCTACTGTATCTCATCACTTTCCAGGTGCAAATATTCTTTGCAATGGGTAATTGTGAGCAGGTACTTTTTCTTCTATTCATTGATGCAAAGAATTAAAATGCACTTGGCCTGGATGGGACAATTGTTTTGCTTTCTGTATTTTCTAAAGTGTAAGAAATACAAATTGGCATTTGCAAATTGGCTCCTGCCTTCTATAGTGGTGGTATCTATTTCTAAAGATTCTGTTAAGAGATCCTTGAAATATACCCTAGAGGAAAGAACTATTACAGGCACTGAATTCATACAAACATAGTTCCAAGATTATCTCAGAGATCATCTAGTTCCAGAGATCTCCAACTGTGCTTCTGTGGAAAGATGATATTTCATGAGAAATTAATGAACTTTGGCCCGTTACCAGGGGTTCCAAGAAATTTCTTTAAAAAAAATTGGGAGGTTTCAGGGCCTGAAAGTTTGAAACTCTTAATCAAGTCCAATTTAATGCCAGTTTTTTCTAGAGCAATTCCAATAGATGGCTCTCCAGACTCTGCTTGAAGCCTCCAGTTAAATTTTCAATAACATACCACTTCATGAATATGTTACACCATTAGTTGACAGCATTTACCAACAAGAAATTTCCCATATCTATGCTGATTCTATTTCTTCCCGTTGCTTTTAGCCTTGCCCTTTAGGGCAACCAAATAGTCCACTCCCTCCTTTGTATAACAGCATTTCAGATATTCAGAGGCTGTTATATTCTCTTCTCTTAGTCTTGTCTCTAGAGTAACATACCAAATTCTTTTAACCACTATCTATCAATTACAATCCATTACTATAAATGCAGGTAGTCCTTGACTTATGACCACAACTGAGCCCAACATTTCTACTGCTAAGCAAGACAGATGAGTTTTGCTCCATTTTACAGCCTTTCTTCCCACCGTTGTTAAGTGAATCATTGCTGATGTTAGTAACACGGTTGTTAAGTGAATCTGCCTTCCCCACCATCTCTTGCTTGTCAGGTCATAAAAGGTGATCACATGACCATAGGACACTGCAACAGTTGTGTGAAAAATCATGTCACTTTTTTCAGTGCCACTGTAACTTCAAATGGTCATTAAATAAATCAAGGACTGCCTGTACATTAATCAGTGGCCCCAAAGAGCGAATGGTGAGGAATAGACTTGTGTTTTGCGCTGTTTTAAACCGGCATTCTATACTCCACCAAAGGAAAAGCACTGCTTGAGGCATGCAAACATCTCCATAATAATTCTCCATGCCTCCCCTCAGAATAACCTTTGAATGCTTTTTCAGAGCTTTTCATCTAAAAATAATAAAATCAGGATTAAACTCCGCCATGCCTCATCGGTCTATTTACAAATAAAAAAGACAAATCTTCATTCAATGTAAGCATGTCCAGCATTACCACCCCCCTCTTGCAGAGGGAAGGCAAATGCTAAGTGGGAATTCAATCAGGAGTACACATTTGTTTGTAAGTCATCTGAACTCAGAACTTTTTGATTCACAATCAGTAGCATAGTCAACTTTTTCTCTCTTATTATTTTCGGTATGTACCTTCCATTACTTGCTAGCTAAACTGGAAAAGATTTTAAGAAATAGGATTCCTTCTTTTGCCACAGCAGTGGTTTCTGCCTGAACTTGCCGAGAAATTATCAGCTTGATTAAACAGATATATCAAAAGCATGTTATGTCCCTCGTCCAACTTGTTGAAACTCCCAAGATAACTTGCTAGTCCTAGAAACATCCTCCTCTATCGTTATATTTGAACTGTTTAAATTTTATGAGGATTCTCTGAGGTAGACTTATACAAACCTTTATAGACAGTTCTGAAAATCAATTCCATTTGAGTTTTGGGGGAAAGGTGTGTGGAGGAAGTGTCTTTCCCTTTATAAAAGTAGAATACAGGTAGTCCTCAAATTGAGCCCAACATTTCTGTTTTTAAATGAAACATTTGTTAAGTGCATTTGGTGCCATTTTATGACTTTTCTTGCCACAGTTTTTAAATGAATCACTGTAGTTGTTAAATTAGTAATGCAACTGTTAAGTGAATCTGGCTTCCCCACTGATTTTGCTTGTCAGAAGCTTATAATAGGTAATCATATGATCCCAGGATGCTGTGACCATCATAATGTCTGAATTTTGATCATGTGACCATGGGAATACTACAATGGTCTAAGTGTGAAGCAGGGTCATAAGCCATTTTTTCCAGGCCCATTTTATGACTTTGAATGATCACTAAATGAACTGTTGTAAGTTGAGGACTGACTACCTGTAAATACTTTTGATATGATGGGAAAACAAACAAAATAAGGCTAGATGACACCAGCATTACTGGAGTTTACTGAACTGATACCACTATCAGGTTGGATATGAAAGAAATATTGCTGTCTCAGTTTTGACTCTTGTCCACCAGCTCCATTTATCAGTCTGAACAGAATCTAAATTGTTTTGACTTCATAGATAATATAAGGCCTATTTTCCAAATGTAAGAAAAAAAAAGTCTTATTAGTTTCAAAACTAACAATTTTAGTTGATAGATTTGTTATGAACTACTCAGTACAACCTGTGGAAGTCAATCCAATATCTGAAAGCAATGTATATCGGTATTTGCAATGAAAAAGAAAAGGGTAGATTTTTCTATCTTTTTCTTTTTCATTGCAAATACCGGCAGTATACCCCCAAAGTTTTTTTGTTGTTTTTTTTTTAGTAAAAGACCATGACAAATCTAATAACAATGACATCTTCACAGCTGTCCTGAAATCATCTAAATGAGTTAATTAAGTGAGATAAGGTTAACAATAGGTTCTTACTCATTGGTAATCATAATTAAGGGACCAAAAACAGATTAACCTCTAAATCCCAATAAATAAACTTTAAGAGAAAAATACAGCACACTTTCATGTTTAACTTATTTTAAAAATTAATGGTCTTTGTGAAACTATACGAATACCGTTTTTCTACATAAAAAACAACAACACATTCTTAGTGGTTTTGCAAATACTTCCTTCCATAAATGGTTTCCATTCCAACCCAATGCTATGGAAATAACTGGGACAGACACATTTTTTTCTACCAGTGTTTTAACATAGCAAATTGTTTTAACAACATTGTCATTTATCAGAACTCAGTCTTTATAACACAAACAAGATCAAACCGGTTCAACCTTGACCCACCATGTTGCTCCTAAAGTCTGAAGGGTGGGGTTTTTTTTTTAAAAAAAAAAAACATACACCACTTTGGTTAACAGCTATTCAGTCTCATTTTTTTTTCCCCACAAGGAAGATATACTCCTTTAGTTTTTTCCATTGTCACTAAAAAGGCATATCCGTGGCATGTGTTGCCAATCTATGACAAGGGGATCAAGATTGCAGCAGTTAAGGCAAGGATAACTCAACGGCACTGAAGTTTTAATAATTGGGATTGTACCCAAAATAGCGATATTTGTGGTGGACCACAACAACTGAAGAAAAAAAAAGCCTTCTCTTTCCTTAGAGCTGTATTTTCCGCAGGCACTTGTAAGTTGCATAGTTTCGAAGCAGAATGACACACCTTCTCTTTCCTCTTCCTTGGTCAGAATTGTAGCTTGGGGTTTTTTCTCTCAGTGCTATAAAGCCTCTACATCCGAGTAGCTACATAGCATATTAGCAAATGAAAGGCCAAAGAATCTGCCTAGAATCCACTGATTTCACATTAGCAGAGACTCCTGAAGTTGGACTGCTTTCTCTTCATAGACAGGTGTAAAAAAAAAAACACCTTGAGATCTCCTCCATTAATTCCCTGTCCTCTTCCACAGCTCCAGTGAATCTGAAATAGCAATACTGGGGCGGGGGGGGGGGAGCAGAACGATTCTCTGAAGGGAGCGGGGGATAAAAGACATAGTCACTAAATAACTCTTTAGGAAATAAAGATCCCTCTGACTGGAGAATAAAAGAAGGCACTTGGTGAGACATTCAGCCTCTTTCCATCCAATCCACTCAATGAGTCAATAATCTCAACCTTGTGATCCAGCTAACCAGCAAAGAGGGTTCTGTGGAGGAAGATTTTGTGGATGTAGTCACAGGTGGCCTTTTAGCACCATCCTCCTGGAAAGGGATGGTTGCGCTGTTATGGAGATCCACATTAACAAAACACTTGCTTCCCCTGATGTAGTCAGCACCTTTTACTAACTGTTTCTCCGCCACTGGTCTGGGAAACGGAGGCTGCAAAGAGGGGTTTTCTTCAATAATGGGTGGGATTCTTTCATTGCTGAAGTATCGGCAGAGGGCATTTTCAGCTGGGAAAAAACAAGCAGAAAAGTCTTAGAAAAGTTCACGTTCAAAAACTCTGGCAAAGATTAAGCAGCTTTTAACGTTATGATTTTCTCTGTTGTGCAAGCGGAATATAATCTCAACTGGCTCCACATTTTTTTTAATACTAACATTCTTTTTCGTAATCCACTACAACCTGAACCTTAATCACCATGCACCAGCACCAGCCCGAATTTAAGTTAATGGGTAAAGTTTCTACTTTAGGAATTAATAAACTGTACATAAATATAATGGTGGCGCAGTGGTTAGAATGCAGTATTGCAACTGACTGCTCACTCCAGGAGTTCCGAGGTTGGTAAAATGAGGATCCAGATTGTAGGGGGCAATGTGCTGACTCTGTAAACTGCTTAGAGGTCTGTAGAGCACTGTGAAATGGTATATATGCATATAAGTATATATCCAAGTCTAAATACATTCATTCTTAAAACCCCTTTGTTGTTTCCTCTAGGAAAGAAAATAAACTTAGTAAGGGACAAATTGAAACACACAAATTGCAAGGGAATTGTTTAATTCCTCATTCTTTCTTTTGGAACTCTCAGTTTCTACTAATGCTATCTCCATGTCTTTTCCTTCTAAACAAGCTTCTGAAACACAGATGTCCACAGCAAACTGAGATTGCTTCAAAATCTGACACAGATACAGTGATGTCATGATCCTAATGTTTGCTGCAAGCATGCAAGTCACACTTTCTGTATCATGGTGCATGATTTGGATCTGACACACACAAATATATACACACATCCCTTGCAAACATCAATGCTCTGACAAGCTCTAGGAAACAGATATTTTACTATTTTGGATCAGTACTTAAGAATTGCTAGCTGCGAGCATTTTAAACAGTACTTTAGCAACAATGGAGTTTCCCAACTCAGTATTCATCTCAAATGAGACATTAAAACTAGCATTTGTGCAGAAGTGCACAATTTCTGCTAGGCTAAGGGCCCCAATATGGGTGACATCAAACTATATTGTGATTTCATTTATGCTTCATTAAAGTTAAATATGGGTTTTGATGTGATTATTCTCCAATCAAGCATTTCATAATTTCCTCAAGCTATCATATTAAAAATTACAATTTGGTAAGCATTTCCAGAGATGTCTGATACATACACCCAGGCCCTTCAGGAGCCACAGTAGCCAGGATTGTGCACTTTTACTCTCAATATAATAACAGGTTATTACATTAATATCTGGAGTATACAGTATCATCGAAAGCACCTCTCTATTAGATTAACATAATATAAACTAAGAGTGAAATGTTGCTTTGACATTTGCCAAAAGAACGACTAGTTTGCTGACCCCAGGGAGGCTATCTGATTAAAAAAAAAAATGACACATGTTCCTTTCTGCTTGGCAAATGCACAGGTGGAAATCTAACATCAAACTGCAATGTGGACCATGAACAGACATTTTTATTAGGAAAAGGAACTGAATGTCAACAAGTTCCTCACCTTTTCTCCCCGCTGCTCGCGGCTTAGAGAAAGATTCTACAGCTCCCAGCCAATTTCCATCAGCAGGCATAGACAGTGGGCGAGGCTTTCCTAAAAACCATAGACATTATTAAGTTATGTGATCTATAGGTTCTTGGTACTTTTTCAGCTTGGTTGTTTTCTTGCAGCCATTTAATTACCAGGCTAAGTAACATCATCAGTGTGAAAGGGGGAATTTTTGCCTTGATGCCTTGAACCCTGAGCTATATATACTCTCCTCAATGCGATCTGTGTAATGGCAATTCTTGTGAGAAGACAACTTTAAACATTGGATGAGTTTCTATGCATGCAGTAAATGTGAAGAAGTTGTGATTGTTTCGCCACTCTTATCACCACTGACTAGACCAGTGATGGCGAACCTATGGCACGGGTGCCAGAGGTGGCACTCAGAGCCCTCTCTGTAGGCATGCGTGCCGTTGCCCCAGTCCTAGGCCTTCAGCTGGGCTTTATAAAACCTTTTCGCTTTAGGCCGCCGCCTCCGTGTGCAAAAAAAAAAAAGGTTCAATCAGACAATTTCAACTTCTCGCGCGAAAAAAAGTTGCAAAGTTGGAATTGATTGATTGAACTTTTTAGTCCCATCCAGTCTGCCATTACCACCGCAGCCATGCCCACCCAATGGGCCACGCCCACCCAATGGGCCACACTCACCCGGCACTTGACGATGCATAAGTGGGTTTTGGGCTGCAGTTTGGGCACTCAGTCTCTAAAAGTTCGCCATCACTGGACTAGGCCTAAGCATGGTCATGCACTTGTTTTCATTCTTCACCTTCTGCCATCATGAGTGTATATCTCCCTGCGGTTGTTCTGTGTCTCACAATTGCTTGGTAAGGCACTCATCCACTCTAGCTTCCTGGACTTGTGTGCACCACTGACTGCCAACCCTCAAATATTAAAGGATCCAGACACCTGGGATGGACCACCTTAACTGATCCTCTACTTTTGTCTCTTTGGCAGAGGGTGAGAATGGAACTAATTCTCTGGGTTAAATTTCAGCAACACAGGATTCTGCAGGTCTGCCTACTCAGAAACAGCTTAACAGGTTCAACGGGAACAGAAGATTGTAAATGAAAAGTTATAAACCACAGATATGCCAGAATTTATATTTTAAAAATATTTTAAGTACTTTACGTAAGAATATTTCCACCAGTTATAGATTCTCTCTGAAAAGGAAGAATTTTTAAAGACTTAAAGAAAAAAAAAGGTGGGGGTTAACTCTCGGAAGAAAAACCCAATATAGATTCAGAGTTTTCTCACCGTAAGATGGAGTTTTCTCCCTCATCTTTGCTAGTGGAATATTTACTTCCCTGGGATAGGCAGGCAATGGATCAGACTCTATCAGAGTAAACCGTCTTCTACATTCCTGATCAAGGAAAGAATTGGGGGATTCTGCACCTTTAGAACCAGGGAGAGGCTGTTTGGGTTTATTGCCTCCTCCATAAACGAAGTTGCCTTTCTCGTCCCTGAAAAGATATTACATTCAATAAGCAACATGAACAAAGGGCTTGCAACCCTGAACCCTGAACAATTCTAACACTATTCAGTGGCCACCTGAGAGAGACTGAAAAGAGTAAACAAAGTAAGGCAAGAGTAAACAAAGAAAGAAAACCCAAAGTAGTCCGTATGCATGCTCGAATTTTGCAGGTTGCAGGAAAGAGTAGAAAATGTGGGACAGCCCCAGAATTACATTTTCTTCTTTTCAGTTTTCTTTACAAAGTCCCTAGCTTTTATGGTGCAAGCAACAGCATGTTTAAAGATAACTCAAGATATTATCACATAGTACTCAGACTGGCGGCTGAATAAATCTCTGTGATCAGAAGAATGGCCTAAGTATTCTGCAATTCAATTGTTCTTCTTTAATATTGGCGGCAACTCAATAAATCATGCAAGAGACCTGACTCATAATTTTTCAATAAATTACACAATGGGAATCTATGTATCATTTCCTAATGTATAGAGCAGAAGAACTCAATTTTTACCTTTCTTTGGTGTTCTATTAATGTGATATAAGATTTTTTTAAAAAAAACCAAGGGAATTACTGGTAAGTACTCCTGTCAGTTATTACAAGGATTTTAATAATAATAATAATAATAATAAAAAATTATTCTTTTTATATGAAGAAATGCTGTGTACTTTTCCATCAGTGTCTTCAAGGTGGCTTACATTTTCTTTTTACAACATGGAAAAAACAGTATTCAAAACCAATTAAAATGATATCCCAAGCTAGCAAATTCAAGTAATAAATAAAAAGTTGAAAAGGAAAGACAGAATGATTTGTTAACAAAAGCTGGAAAGAATGAAGCAGTTCCAACAAATCATTTAGAGATGTCATCGAACTATTCCGTAAGATTTATTTATTAAGTTATTGCTGAATATTCAGGTGAGAATATCCATACGCAGAGTAAAACAATACTTGAGTAATTTGCTTCTGGGGACATAAACGATTGAACTAAACCTCTCACCCTCCCACTCATATGACAGAAATGTATTTGACAAATCTTTGAAAAGCAGAATCTGAATGGAACGGTCGACATGTAGGTTTTTTCTCCAAAGCAAAAGATTTATCATTTTGCAAGTGTTGTGCTTAATGCAAGTCTCCAGACTAACGTCAGAAGACAATTGTCCCTTTGCACTTTTAGTGATTTTGGCATGGCTATTTTGGCTCCTAATTCAGTCTTAACATACAGCATTCTGTATCTCAGAGGCATCTGGGAGGCGGGTGGATCAATGAGTCAAGATGACAGGCACACCTGTGTGATCCCAGAGTAGAACTGGGATCTTCTGACAGTTTTCCCAGTAAACCTGATCATCTAATTCTACTTTATTGTAAAGTTACATTAACAGAATCCAGCAAGTCGGAAAGTACAAACTACCCATTGCCACTTTTAACTGTTCGGTCCATTAGACTGGGTCCTTCCTAAGTTTCTTTCTCTGACTATTAAGCCACTGTGGGTTCCTCCCTCTCTAGTTTGATTATTTCCTAGGCAAGACTTTTCCCCCCTTGTTCCTCAAGGTCATTTACACATTCCACTACACTATCTCTTCTGCAGTCATGCTCACCTCTTGGCTTTCTGACATGCCCGAAGAATGCCCTTCCTGCTTTGTTCTTCATTTGAAAAGCAAAACCAAAGCTAGCTCTAAATTAAACATCAACTATTTAAAACATTTACAAGAGAAGAGATGCACAGACATTGGCATCTCTTTTTATTTGCACATGCTTTTTTTATTTGAGTATAAATAAATGTGGCCTCCACTAAATCTACTGCAATCAGGGCACTGAAAATGCTCACATCCTTTGAGCCTTGATGAGACAACTTAAGTCATTTCAGCTGCTTAAAGTTATTTTAGCAGACCAACTTAGATTCAAAAGCTTTAGAGCAGGGGTGTCAAACTGCTGGCCAGCGGGACGGTTTCATCATACCAGAGCCGCGCCCACCCCATTGCCGGCAACGGCGAAAAAGCACCGATACGTTGCGCGGTGACGTCGCGAGTTTGACATGTCTGCTTTAGAGGCACAACCATTTAGAAAAGAGAAATAAAAATGTCTGTTGGCTAGATATGAACTTTTTAGGAAGCAGAGATACATAATGGACAAAATTTAAGAGTGTAACCAAGCACCACCCCTAACTAAATGATACACTTCTATTTAAGATTTTTTTTTAAGAACTTCCTTTTTAGGACAAAACTGTGCTATATGATTCTAGTGACATTTTCAGAAAATAACACCGCCGTACATTTAAGAGCTCAGATATGTGTGAAACACCAAGTAAATCCTGATTACGACTAAGTAATTCATCTGGGGAATGAATGCAAATAGCCAGATAATAATGAGCGGCTCTTTTTAAGTAATATGTAGCTGCTGGCATACCGGGGTGCGTAGGGAACAGCTGGCGGTGGAGGTATGTAAAGATCCAGAATGGCTGGTTTCTCTTTCTTCAGTGATGTCTCCTTGGTGTTTTCCGATGACTGAGCTGTAGCTGGGTGTAGGCTGGTCTACAGTGAGAAGATACAATAGTTCTTAAGTAACTTTAAAACTACAAAATGCAGTCAGGCCAGTTCCTCTACTATATGCTCACATTATTCTTCATTCCCTAATTTTATCTGATCCATTGGAAACTGGAAACAATTATCTCTTTAAATACCTTAATTTAGGATAAAATCATATCTTTGGACTTTTATCACATGCTAACTACCTAGGATTGTTGACAATAAGGACATGCACAATATTTTAAAAATAAACACTACACAGAGGTGCCTTACATTTTTTGTATTCTGTCATATTGGACTTAGGTTTGACCAACACCTTTAAGCCAAACACAAATTCAGAAGCAGCTTTAAGAACTATTGTTTTATACAGAATTGCTAAAAAAAAAATAGGCACAAATTAAGAATTAAGCAGAAGCTCTTGTCGTTCTACCCTGCTAGAGACAGATGCTGTCTGTAGGTGGTTTAAGATTGTTCATCAAGATGGAAGCCATTTTCCCAATATGATCTCTCTCCAAATCTCATCAAGCATTTAAGTGATTAGTCTCACAGGGTGATTCAGTTAGATTCTAAGTGTTGCTTCTACATATGGTTCAGATCCTAAATAACTTGCAGAAAAGTATAGATTTCATTCTACTTATAGCATGAATTAATATTGTACAAGAAAACAAGATACCGTATTTTCTGGCGTATATGACGACTTTCTAAACCATGCAAATCTTCTCCGAAGTCAGGGGTCATCTTATACGCTGAGTTGTCTTATATGCCGGAAAATACAGTACTTTATTTCAATTCATATAAGATGCACTATTTCCCTTGGTGGATTCTTTGTTAGAAATATTGAATTCCCCCTTCCCTTGCCATTATCTGCTTAGACCCCAAAGAAATTCTCTTTGAAAAGATTTTAATCCCCGTATCTTCCACACCCTTTTTCCCTCCCAGGTTTCACAATGCCTCCAATTTTGCTAATACCAGCAATTGGCACTTCAAGGGGAAACAGCATAATTCAGCACAACAGCATAATTCAGATAGGCTATAAAGATTAATCTTTGACAAATGCAATATTTGGTCACAATTTTTCTACTATGCAATTATCTATGGTTATTTCCTGAATTCAATTTTTCCAGAGTATAAACAATTCAGCTCAAATAGTCTTTTAGATATCCACCCCAGTTAAGAAGGTTCTGGGAGTTGAGGGTAAAAAAAAATATTCTTCCTTATTCTTTTATTTGTTTTGTGCAATTACTATAAAAGGAGCTTTCACAAATTAATTTCAATTTTTTTTAAAAAAAAACTTTTGGCTGTAAAACTATTTGGATAAATACAGTTTTTACGATGTACCGATTTTAGTTTTTGATATTATTTATTTATAAGCACACACTTACAGACTTCCTAATATATCTCAGTATATATTGCAGGCCTTTTCACTGGCTCTCTATTAGAGACAAAGCCTAGTTTAAATGACCAAAGTTTTGTCTTTGGAGCCCTTTGATCATAAACTCTCTAGATTTGTCTGGCCTTATTTCCCATAATGCAATTTGTTCTTTATATTCCTCTTCTTTCAGTTCCTCCTTCCAAAGTCAAGGTTTTCAAATTCTAGCTCTTTAATGACCTAACCTGCAAATTGGTAAATCATCATCTCTTCTTTCTCTATTTCTGTAGAAATGTAATGTTTTTAAGGTATTTAAACCACACTGCTTTAAAAAAAAAAAGCAGTTAGGTTGAGATTTGGCTCTTCTATCCTAATTTTACTTAGCTGACAGTTCTAAGTTAACATCTGTTTCAAATTACTATAGATATATATCAGATTGGCCTAACCCTATTGGCCTGAGGGCATGGCTATGTTTCCAGGTGTTTTGATCAGAATGTCTGTCGGATCCCATGAATTATTTTTATTTAAATATATATGTTAAATGTGTATTGGTGGGTGGGTTTTGTTATTATTTTATCTCATCTGCTGACTATCTATTTTGTATGTTTTGTTGGTTTTCTTGCTGTTTTTTAAATTGTTATTAGCCACACAGATTTGTTTGAAATGGACAATCACATTAAGTAAATAAATACTTCATCCTATCCCAGGGAATTGTTTTAATGTACTGTTTTGTCTTATCTATCTTAGAATTAATATCTATTTACTGGGTTTTGAGCTAATTTGGCTGGGTTGATTTGTATTTACTATACTGTGTTTTTATAGTGTGATTTTTTAAAAAACATGTGTCATAAATCATTTTCTTAGCTTAACTGAAAAATTCTGTTATGAACTAATGTTGTCCTGAAATGTTTCAACCTCAGAGACTGCTTCATTTCCTCATCCCATTATAATCTATAACAACCAAGTAAGTATACATCTTTAGGTATGCTATCATTAGAGTTGACTCCTTTTTTTCCCTTTTTTTTTCTGAGATCAAAGTTGGAACATTTTAAGAAGTAGTTCCAAAGGAAATAAGGGAAGAAAGATATAAGTGATTCAAAAATGTCTTATGCTGGACAATCCTTCCTGCAGGAATGTATGTAGATGAAAGATCACTGGGTCAAATGCTAGTAATTAAAAGATCAAAAACCCAAACCCAAAAACTGCATACAGGAAACTGGAATATAAGAATCACAGCTAATTTAAAAATCTTAATTTCTGACATCCTAACTTTTCATGTTCTGAGAAGATATCTTTTTGTTTTGTATTATTTTAGTTTTTTTGAAGTGAAAATCATCAGATATCAAATGACTTCAATCAGTAGTGGTATGAAAAAGAACAATTCAATAAGGACTGAATCAAGTGCTTATCTTGCATGTTTAAATGGATCACTTTTTTTGTAGTCTGGAATAAGGTAACATGAAAAGAGTATATATTTTTCCAACATGAAAACTATATTTATGACAACATTTCTATCCCATCCTAGCTTCATAAAACCCAAGATGTTTTGCATAATATCAAATTATAATTAAAATTTTCTGTGACCAATTATGGAGACAAAATGTATGTATTCACTAAATAAATAAATGAGAAAGGGTTTATGGAAAGGGGAAACAAAAACTTTGTGTAACTTCATAATACCTGTACAAGTGGTGGTTTCCACCTCAGATTTTTAAGCGGTGCGGGAGTAAAATTAAAAGATCCTGTATGGCGTTTCTTTACCAGTAGAGTAACTCCCAAAGGATTCTCACGAAGCTTCCTTACGAGATTCTTCAGCTGCCATCCCACCTTTTAAATACATAGCATATAAATCTTTTAATTAAATCCAATGTAAGAAATGAATTTAAAATAAGGGTACCAGAAGAAAATCAAAATGTTTCCCGTTGCTATGTTTTTTTCTTGACATGCTTTCAACAGTGTAAGTGCGAAGTTTCAATGGATACAGTCTTCTCCTTTGAGATTATGGACAAATAATCTTAGCTATATTGTCTCTGTAAACCTCTTAGATGTCATATGTTGAATGGCTTTAGAAGAAAAACCATTATGGAACAAATAATATTCAGTCTATATAATATATTACCCCAAGTAGATAGATATGATTAATTCCTGTAAAAGATGAAGCGTTATACCAGAAGTAGTCAACCTTGGTTCTTTTATGACTCGTGGACTTCAACTCCCAGAATTCCTGAGCCAGCACAGCTGACTCAGGAATTCTGGGAGTTGAAGTCCACGAGTCATAAAAGAGCCAATGTTGACTACCCCTGCCTTACACCAATGAACATTCTCCAGTTTTCCTGAAGATACTAAGTCTTTTGCTCTTAACAGGCCACTTCCAATAGTTCTAAAAACTTTCAAGCCATTTGGACATTTCAAGAAGCAAAAAAAATTACCCCTTACAAGAAAAAGTAGATTTTAATTTTTTTTTAACCCCTAACCATATCATCTCCATTTTTCTTTTTCTTTTTGGGGGGCAAAGACTATGATTACTGTTAGACTAGGGAAGGCAAATAATAAACAGGGAACAATTCCTCCTATTCTGGGGCAAAGGAGGAATAACGATGAGGATAATGAAGGCAATTAAACCCGAACACAATTTCAAAATGGAAATATGCCACCCAAATTCCTGTTCCTCCAAAGTCCTCTGTGCGTCCTTGATACAATGGAAAGGCACAAAGCACCTTTTGCTTACGTGGCCAAGAATATAATGTTTAATGTTTGTACTGCTTGATTATATTGCTCAAAACTTTGCAGGCTGGCAGGCAACATCTCTTGCTTGCACAAAATTCCATAAGGCAGAGAGAAATTGTAAAGGAATGACTAAGAATCCTTTCTTTGAAGTGGAAATATTTCCACTTAATAATAATGCTAATTCTAATAAATAGTAATATATTTATTTATAAAGTTTACGATCTACTATTCATCATAATTGTAATGATTTGTAATTGTAAAGATGCCAGAAGCTGAATTTATGAACATTTACAATATTCCATGAATAATGATCCTACACATTTCACTGGGATAGGATTCACAAAATACTTAATAATCCATGAACAAGTTTTCAGCATCCCACATTCAAGATGAATATTATTCCTCTAAATGTTTGTAATTTTTTTTATAAGTATCAATTACCTGTGGTTTTCTTTAACCACAGTAATTTGGGACATTTCTTTAACAGATCTGATTTTGCTATTAAACGCATTAAGGTATAAGCAACAGTTCAGAATAAAAATGAAGGCATGCAACTGAAATGATTGCTAGTAAATCAGGCTAAATTTTGATTCTAATTGGTGTCTTTTGAACCACTTTTGCGGTGTTCGTTGACTTACCACTGTCTGCCGGTTCACCTGAATCACTTCGTCACCAGCATGGATTTTCTGAGATCGATCAGCAGGAGACTACATAGTATAAATACAAAACAAAACAAATAATAATTTCCAATTTAAAAACTTTCAAATGGTACACCCTTGGCAGAAAAGCTTTATACATGGAAATGTCTACGGTGTTTCTGCATGAGCTACAGCTGCCTCCTCCAAAGGCAGGTCCCCTACAACTAGTCATTATATATAACTAGTCAATTGTTAAAAAGCAAAAAAGGACTTTCTTACACTGAGTCAAAGGCTAGCAATTGAGCAGGGAAAAAGAGGAGGAAGATCATTTCAGTCTGCAGATTTCTTTTCTACTTCTCTAGTAAGACACCTGAAATTTAATTAGTCTGCTCTAACAGAGTGAATGAAGTCACTTGTCTCAATTCCCGACAACATACAACTTGAAAGGGAGAAGTGTTAAAAACTTTTATAGCTCAGATATCCTAGGACAGTGATGGCGAACCTTTTAGAGCCCGAGTGCCCAAACTGCAACTCAAAACCCACTTATTTACTGCCGAGTGCTGGGTGGGCATGGCTGTGGTCATGGCAGACTGGGTGGGTGTGGCCAAGGTGGGCGTGGTCACCTCGATGTTGCTCATGGGGAGGGATGCCTGTGGGGGCCGGGCAGGGTTAGGGGAGATCCAGGTTATCTCTGGCAAGAGACTCGTCCTGCGGGGTGAGGCGAGGCGAGGCAAGGCAAAGCAGGGCGGGGTTGCCATTGCCCCGAGGCAAGGCGAGGCAGGGGCCAGGGCAGCTGCTGCCTGACACCATTGGCCCCCACACATAGAGGCCAGTGAGTGCATGGGGGCCGACAGTGTCCTTCAGCAGCCGCAGCCATAGCCTGCCGGCCCCTCAACTGGAGCATTCTAGGGCTCCGCAGTCCCACCAGCAGTTCAGAGAAGCCGCCTCTGAGCTGGACGGAGGGCCAACAGCTGAGGAGGCGATGCAGTGGGTCGTGCCCAGGAAAAGGAGACCATGCAAGGCCAGGAGGGATGGGATGGGGGGGGGAGGGAAACCAGTCATGCTGGGATGCATCTGGCCATGTGGGAGCTCAGCGAGTTAGCGGGCGACTGGTTGAAGAGGGACGGTTGCCATCTCCAGGGCATGGTGCGTGTGCCCACACAGAGAGCTCTGAGTGCCATCCTCTGGCACACGTGCCATAGGTTCGCCACCGCTGTCCTAGGAAGAGAGATGAATTGTTTGATTATCTATTAGCAGGCAGCTTTCGGGTCATTCAACATCTCATGTTGATGGAAAATATTTTTGCAGAAGAAACAGGAGGAAAATCATTCCAGAACTCCTTTAGGTGCCTTTAAAGTCTGCTGCAGAGAGACCCCCATCAGGATGTGGGATGAAGAGGAGAAAGTTCTGCTGGGCTGGCAAACATTAGTAGGACAATTCAGAGAATTTTGCTCAGTTCTACAGCACAAGGAAAGCAGTGTGGCAGCCTTTGTTTAAAATGGCTCTGCAGCTTTAAATCTGTTCCAGTGATTCTCTGGCAGTTCACATCATAGAGAAAGAAAAATGGTCCTGAGTTGACCTGTGTGACTCAAATCAGCTGAAACAAATGGCTCATTTCCCTTGTTCCCTTATCAGGTGCAATGCAGGACAAGACAATCCCCTTGGGGGCTACCTGAGATGGAAAATCTTACTAGGAAAGAAATCCTCGCTGTCATCTGACTGATCTAAGGCATTCCTATGTTACACATCAGCATTAAGAGGCAAAGCTATACTTGTTGCGTTTTCATAAATGGAAGCTCTGGCGAAAGAGAGGAGAGACGTTGGGAAACATACAGACTCCAAGATAACTTCCTTTTCTTAGTAACAACATTCCTCTCTGAACAGACAACTGTAGACATTGCGTATCCAAAGCACAACTCTTTCTGAATTGAGAATTAATTTGTTAATAAACAAAAGAGGGGAGGAAAGCCCACTCAGCTTCCATCACCAGCATTTGGAAAGTGACTGGAAAGTTTTGTTTGGGTCAAAACATTCCCACCAAAAGCAGGAAATCAAAAGTCATTAAAAACAAGTTGGAAATCCTGTCACCTGACAGGAATCGGACACATCTCTCCATGGCATTAAGAGCTGCTCTGTCAGAGATGCAGCTGCACAGATACCAAATGACAGGAAGCTACCAGAGGCAAGACACTGTCATTGTACTGCTACAAAGAAGGGAAAGGACGCTTATCTTAGCAACATGATTCTTCAGCAGAGATCTGGAAACCCAAGAAAAGAAGGTTACATGCTTGTGAATGCCAACTAAGGTTCCTAGCACTGGGTACCTTCAAACAGAAAACATAACAGTAAATCTAAAAAGCCAGTTTGGCATGGTAAGGAAAAGATCTGAACATTTGCATTGCTTAGGTTTTTTAAATGTTTGGGACATGAGGCAAAACAATATTCTCAAATGACTAATGGCCGCACTGGCCGGGGAGAATGGGAACTGTAATCCAATTCTATATCTGCAGGTCAATGGGACAGGACAGTGTATAGAAGAGAGTCACTATCTTCCTGTTCTAGGCAAAAATGAAAGTGGAGCTCATAATTAGTTTTCCCACTCATTACATATATCTCCATGGCTTTTCCTTTGTAATTCTGGAGACACTTTACATTTAAGAACTCTCTCTTTGATTCGCAGGAAGTATATGGACTCTTCTATACCCAGTCTAAATATCCTGCTGGTGTTTTCAGAAGGAAGACAGTGCACTACATAAACACGTCTTTGCTGAGCCTGTATTTACAATCTAAGCATTTTGCTCAACAACAATTCTGGGAATTCCAGTTAGTACAACCCCACGTAGCATTTAGAAACACTTTTACTGATTTGCATACAAACTGAACTGAACCAAAAGGTGGATATAGAACAGATAGAGTCAGTCATGCACATGATAATTTAGCATAAATTATCACTGTCAGCAATAAGGTAATGATAAGAGTATGAGACCAAAATAAATGAAAATATAACAAGTTAAGCATTTGCTTTCTGTCACATTTTTGCCATTTTGGGGGGAAGAAATGGCAAACTGAAAACAGCAGAGCCGATGACCACAATGGAATGAATATCCGGCAAATGGACCAGTTCTTCAGGATTCTTCTCCAGACTAGGAGAGAACCTAGAATTGTCCACAAATATTCCAGACATACTGTCTTGAAAGGAGACCACAAGACCTCTAGGAGATGAGGGATCCCAATTTTTGTCCAAACTGTGATTTGGACATAGGGCTCACATATTTCTTTTCTTAATCATTTTTGAATATTGCTTTTCAGATTTTAGCAACTTTCAGCATTGCAAGATTTACTATACCAAGTGAGTTTCCCACAAAAACAAATTTAAGAACTGCATTTGGAAGATGATATGGAAGAGGAACATATTTTAAAGGATAAGATTGAGATTGATTTGAAAGTGGGTTTTAAAAAGATTATGGGCTATGGAAATGATGTAACAAAATACTACACTGGATATACAAAGGAAATTGTCTGATGTCTTAACAAACTAAAAGAATGACCTGGATAACTTTCTTACAGTATACTGGATTTACAAAAGAGACATGTTACAGTTTTGAAAAAATTTGCTAAGATATGACAAGGAAAAAAACGAAAAGAAATCAAGTTCTAGGACATTTTTGAGAGGATTAAGGATCAAAATTGTTAAAAAATAAAGGGAAGGAATATAAAAATATCAAGATTGTTAAAAGTAAAAGGAAGAAATATAAAGTTGATTTATTTGATCAAAATTAAAATAGATATGCTGTTATCTCTGGTAATCCTTAATGGAATTTACTGACCAAGACTGAATGCCAAGGCTTTAAAGATTTGTGTATAAAGAGATGGAATATGGGGAAAAGAGAAGGTGATAACTTACTAAATAAATAAGTTATTAAATAAGTTACTAAAATTGTCTATATGAGTTATGAAGAAGAAAGTAATTTCTTTATATATTCCTAATTTTTGTTTCTTTTCTATTCTTTTTCTTTCTTTTCTGCACTTTCGATTTTTCCTTTTCTAGCTTCTTATCTTTTTAATTATAATGTTTAATAAAACTACTATTTTTTAAAAAGGTTTGGCTTGGGTTCAATTTTATCACAAATAGCTACAGTTAATTTCCCTTTGATGAAGACATTAAGAATACTTACATTTTCTGTTGTCCCAGTAACAACATGTAAACCGTCATAAGTAGATTTTATGTACATTCCCTAAATTGAGGAATAGAAAGATAAAATAAGCATAAGAATAATTACAACTCATCCACAGTTATACCTCAAATGTTTTAAGACAATTATTTAGAGGAACAGCATGGCTGTTAATACCATGCTAGAGCCTGCCCAAACCAGCCTTGTTGAATTGTGTAAATGGAGTATAATCTCCTTTTGAAGGAGAGAAAAAGAAGAAGAAATCCTCACCTATGGGGGTGAGAATCTAAACAAAAATCACTTAACACCAAGACCTTCCAAATCAGTCAAGGAGGAAAAGTGATCTCAAGTAAATTCATTTCTTAGGAGAATAAAGAGGAACCTTTGTTTAGTTAAGGTTGCTTGATGTTATATCTATCGATTTTTCACATTTCTGAATCACCCATCTTCCTCAAGAATCTCTCATGTTATGTTAAGATGGTATTGTTTTATTGAATCTGTGCTGGCAGTACTTACTTCTAACTTTTGTTATTAATAATTGGAATTGGGCAGCCGTAGGTAATCGAATGAATAAATAAGCATAAAATTATTTATCTGCTTATAAAAGTTGATACATTTTGATTTATCATACACACTATATGCATTGCTTGTTATGCTCAAAGTCACTTTGAATCATATAACTGAAGCAGCATATAAGCGTATATGATGAATATGTAAAACAAATAGACTTAAGTAGAATCTCAGTATTTAAACGAGGGTCACAAAATAAGTGTGTGTCTCATGGGAATAGCTGAAAAGCTTTCGTCTGAATACAGCCTAGAAAACTCTTCAAAACACATGGATAATAAATGCTGGTTGTCAAATTCAGCTTTTTAAGATGTTTTTCTAAGCTAGAATACAGACCTACCCAAAGGTTCGTAATATTTCAAATGTTCCTCTACAAAGAATCAATTTGAATATAATTAGTCTTTAATATTAGTAACACAGTCCTCTCTTGATACTCACATTTTTAACAATGGCAAATCTTGATGGGACTCCATAATGACATTTCAGGGCCAATACAGAGAACTCTTTTTTTTTAAATGTTTCTCTGTTCTCTTGATATACCTAGTAGAATATTTCTTGTGGGAATTCCCTATTGGAAAAAATTTAGTCCTGGAGATAAAGAATTAAAGTTTTTACTTTTCAGATTGCAATATAAACTAATTGTTCAAACTAATTAAGCGGGTGCTTGCTCTCTCTCTCTCTCTGCTCAGTCTAAATACCATAATAAATAGGAATGTCCATGGCTCTCTCTCTCTCTCTCTCTCTCTCTCTCTCTCTCTCTCTCTCTCTCTCTGTGTGTGTGTGTGTGTGTGTGTGTGTGTGTGTGTTTATTTGTATGAGAGATACAGCGAGACAAAGAAAGAAAGAGAAATATCAAGATGGTGGTCCACACCTTTTCATATGTGCATACATGTTGTGGACAAAATGCATATAAAAATGGGCAGGATTTCAATTATAGCCTCCACCTTGACTTTCTTTTTCTCTTTCTGCTTGGGGAAAATAAATTAGATTTTGTTACTTTAAATAAACTTTGAGGTAGTAGCCCAGAGCAATTTAAAAAAGTAAGGAAATGCAAAAATTCTTACCAAGCCTTCCCCAGGTTTGATATTGTTTAAGTGAACTTCTTCGAGACACGCACCCTGACTCATCAATGGATCAGTTGTTGACCTGATTGTCTTATCACAGATTCCATTCAAAACCTTAGACTAGAAAAGAATAAGAACATGCTTTACACATTATTTCGGGAGATGGGGTGGTGGTCTCATGCACAGCCTCTCCGACAAAGAAAAAAACACCTACATTAAGAATTGTTGCTTTCGTGCTAATTCCAGATTCATAAGATACAGCAGCCGCTCAGAGTTAACTTTCATTGGGTAAGAAAGCAATAGCAATAGCACTTAGACTTACTGTATATACCGCTTCACAGTGCTTTACAGCCTTCTCTAAGCAGTTTACAGTATCAGCAACCTTGAGCCGGTCAGAATCGAATTGCTGAATTGCTAGCAGCCAGCAGTCAGCAGAAGTACCCTGCAGTATTGCATTCTAACTACCACGCATTCTAACTATCAAGCTCTGCAAGAACTTTATTTCAAACTAAAAATTCTATAGACATAATTCAAGCCTTTTGTAATTTTGGACAGAAACAATCCAAAATGGCTATAACTGTTTTTATCATGCATAAGCCTGGAATACAAAAAATAATATTAATGGCTTCCCCCCCTTACAAGAGGAGAAGAAAATCCTCTGGGTCAAATGATAACATATAGGCTGAGCCCAATTAACCTGAAAACCCTGAATTAATCAGGAGATTCTCCTCTCCTGTATTTAAGTCAGCTTTCCCTTCCCGATGCCCACCAGATATATTAGGATGTACTAGGAATTTCCAATCAGCAGGGACAATAGCTAGGAATTACTGGATTTGCAATCTCATCAGATAGGGAGAAAATCAAGTTAGAGGAGAACATTTTCCAAAAACTTGGTCACCAACATGAACCAAAAAAACGTGCTCTGATTTTATCACCTAGGCCAGTGATGGCGAACCTTTTATAGACTGACTGTCCCAAAACCGCCCCCCATTGCCCCACCGCCCCACCTGCCCGCTGCAGATCGCCCAGGCAGCCAAGCCGCACCATGGTGGCCATGCCCTCCACATGTGCCCCACAGCATTGATTGCATACAACGGGACACAAGGGCTGAGTTTTGTCCCTGCTGCCCGGTTGCCATGTCCTTGGCTGCTCTGTTCCGTGTAGACCATGCCTGGGGGTGAGTCGTCTTCATGGGGGACTGCTGCTGAGGAGAGGGTCATTGGGGGAGGCAGGGCTGGGGCAATGACCTGCGTGCCCAGAGAGGGCTCTGAGTGCCCCCTCTGGCACGTGTGCCATAGGTTCACCACCACTGATCAAATCTAAAGAAAAAATATCTTAGTGATTCCTCGAGTGTAGGATCTATTTCCTAAAATAAGTCAAGAAAATCCAATATTAAGCATTTAATACACATTTAAACAGAATTTAAAAATATTTTTGTTTGAGTTGGCAGTGTTAATATTTAGGTTTTAACATTTATTGTATTTACTTATTTCAAAAATAATGAGATGATAAGTTGTCTTGGATTCCCAAATATGGATGCATATTTCAAATGAAAAGAACATTTTATTGCCTTGTCTGGAATCCCAAACTTTTGGCTTGGAGATGCAAATTTAACAATATGGGGGTGGGTGGGGAGAAATCAAAATTAGAGCAAACTGAACCTGGATAGGGAGAAGCTGATTTAGAAAGGCACTAGAGAACAAAGTCTTCCCAATGTAGAATGTTGCTATTGTGATCTCTGCTTCTCAATTGCTATTTGCTTCACTTCAGCAGGATATGTACAGCATGAAATGGGGGGGGAGTCAAACTTCTTCCTTCCATCAAATGCATAGTTTACAATTTTTAAAAAATATATACTATCACAGATCAAGATCACAAAGAAAATCCCTTCCCTTCCCCACTCTGTACATATATTGATTGGCTACGCTATTAATATATTATTCTTTCCTCTAGACACAAGTCTTTCCTTCTGAACTAAAAAGTTCTCCCAAACTAAGTTGAGAGAGAATATAACAGTCATAGAATGCTCGGTTCTATGGAGAGTTTTCTTCCTGTCAAGTAACAAGGAAAAGCAGTCATGGTGATGGCACAGTGGTTAGAATGCAGCATTGCAGGCTAACTCTGCTTACTGCCAGCAGTTCGATTCTGAGTGACTCAAGGTTGACTCAGCCTTCCATCCTTCCAAAGTTGGTAAAATGAGGACCCAGATTATTGGGGGCAACATGCTTATTCTGTAAACTGCTCAGAGAAGGCTGTAAAGCACTATGCAGTGGTATATACATCTAAGTGCTATTGCTAGCCAAGAGCATTGGAATGTGAAGGCAGCAGCGATCAGGGAAATGAAAAGATGTTTGACACAATTGTAGAAGTAGGTATAGGAAGGAAGGACCAAGAAACAGTCTTCTCAAGAGAATGCATTTTTGCACAATCAACAAACACAATGTTTACCATTCAGAACTGTTTCCATATCATCTCAAATTTTAAAAGGATGCAAAGATTATATATGTATGAGCCAACAAAATGATAAAATCAATGGAATGAGGCTACAATTACTCAATGGGCTTGCAAACAAAATTTCATTCAAGGAAACTAGAGGAAAAGCATCAGAGTACAGGTCCAGATTTGGATACTACAGTTCAGATGTTTCATTTTCTCTAAAATGCAAATTAATAACGTTGGACCTGTGTGTACAAGTGCATAATTATATGCAGGAAAGTTTATGGTCAAATCATTTGAAAATTGAAAAATAAAATATTGCCAGTCATAAAAGGAATATTGTAACCGCAAAGTAAGAAAACAAACTTCAAAGATCCTTGTGAAACATTATTTCAGAAAATCAAAGATCCTTGTGAAACATTATTTCAGAAAATCATTATTTCAGAATAACCAAGAAGAGGAATAAGTTCTGAGATCTGTTGAGGTCAATTTATAAATACAAACATCCCAAAAGTTAAAGAAAGATACTCCTTTTATTTACAAATCACTATAGCAAATCAGTGCAATCACCTTACACGCACATCTCCACTGTCAGTCAGCATAATCTATTAATCCCAATCATCAATCAACTTCTCCAAGATTTATCTAATACCTATCCAGCCTTTTATTTGCAGCTTCTCCTTACTACCAGTACCCAGTTTTTAATTCTTATTCACCAATATGTACATGTAATTTCAAATCTAACACTGTATTGTTGCAAGTTCCACCTCCATAATTTATTAGAGGAACATTTATCTGTGTCTTGTATCTAGTACAAACAATTACAGCCTCAGTAATATTCACTTCTGGCATCTCATATTGCAAAAGCCAGGAACAATATATACAAATGTTGGAATCTGACTAATAAGCTTGACTCTTACCTACTATTTGGGAGAACTGCCCCAATGCCATAACCCATCACAGCATCTCCCTTGTGGGGAATGTTACCACTGATACAGGAAGAGTGTCAGCAACACATCTAAAGCTCCAATCCAACATACGCTCTGACACTAATTAAACAATCATGGCTACTAGACCAGAAAGGGATATGGGGCAGTGAAAAAGAGCCAGTGAGCTGGATGGACATGATTTGTAAGCTATAAGCTTCTTATGTTGTTAGAACACAGTTGCTGAAAGCAGTTACATTTACACACACACATACACATACGCACACACCAAACAATGTTACTATAAAAAGTAAGAGTATTGAAAGAACCATAATGCATAAATAGAAGGGCGTATGGATTTTTTTTATGGAGGGTAATCAACAATTGTTCTGTTTTGAATGGAGGTGTGAGTATTTTTAGATACTGTGAATTCCTCACCATCTATCTGGCAGGCGGAAGGTCTTATCAAAGAACACAGCCTGATTCATGTCAAAAGGAGGAAGCAATGATTAACCATTACAAAATATTGAACGCAGGTCACTGCCTCCCTATTCCAGTCACAAGACTGTCTCAAACGTATTTGGAAAATTCTCCTTTCAAATCAATTCTGATTCAAAAGAGCATTTTTCTACTGTCGTAATGTACTGTCAGGTATTCCCATTCAAGTTCGGTCCTCAGAACTGTGAGCTCTGCTCAAGCAAAACGGTTCACCTCATATTTCCACTGGAGACCCAAAAACAGAGTACCCACACTGGGCAGTGATTAAAAAAAACAAACAAACCAGAATTCTATTCCACCTATATTATGTGAATGATACTATTCATTGGGATTTATATGTCACTGCGGTCCAGTGAGACTCTGAATGGCTAATATTCCCTTATTTCACTAAGAAGTTTAAAACAATAAAGCCAGTTGACCAAAGAGCCACACCAAGAGAATGGATGCTTATTGTTCTTTCAGTAGCCACAGTTGTCTTTGTAATTCTTTCTCTTGCTGTGGCTCTTTGGTCAACCCAGGCTGGAGGTTCCCAACTTACAACACATCCATGGTTTTATTAAAAAGCCAGGCTTGACAGCTCTGCTGAAACTCAGCAGGGTTGAGCAGATTGAAGGAAGAGCAGAAACAATGCAAGCGGACAAGTATCTTTCATTTGCTTGCTTTGTGGGTCACATTACAAGCAGCCTCCATTGTTTTCCATTTCCTGACCTGAAATTTCTCTACTCACACAGAAAAGGAATATAAACGCAAACTCCCTATCCGATGGGCTAATATCCTTAATATTCCACCTTGGTCCAATTAGTCATGAGTCTTGCAATGACAGGATAGGAATCTATATGCATTTCTTTAGAAACCAAAAAAAATGCCATCAACTGAGCTGGAATCCAGACTGGCATTTGCATTTCAGAACAGATGAGAACCAAACTGAATCATCAGCAAACAAAGAATGTAGGGAAATGCTTGAATGTACCCTCTACTTTGTCCCATTTTTAGCCTTCAACTAGGCAAGCTGCATATCAAAACAGGGCTTTTGGATCATCCAAAAATAGTTTAGACTTTCTCATTTTAGGCGATTAGATAAGCCTGGAAACTATGCAATAAGGAGCCATAGATGCCTGCTGTTCCTATTGGGCTTCGTAATAAGTAAAGCTGCTTTCAATCATTAAAAAAAATGCCTTAACAGAAAGGAATTCAAAAAATGAATTAAACATAAACATTTATACTTACTACATTGAGAACTTTATCTTCCATTTCAGCTACAAGGCAGTCCTTTAAAAAGAAAAGAACGTATTCTATTACTGGAAGATCCTTATATAGCATCAAACTGTAATTTTGACTTGATTGACTTGTACAGTCAGTAAAATATGTCTGGAGCATAGGGGGCAATGCAAAAGTTTTTTTACAATGATCCAAAAATCTAATTCTCTGCAGAAGCTTCAGCAAGAATCTTAATTATTGGTTTTGAAGTATTTTTATAAATCTTTTAACAAAGCCTTTTCACACATAAAATAGTTGGTAAAAGAAACATAAATTTAAGCTATTAGTTCCTCAACAGACTGACAGTTTAAAATCAACCTTGTTGATCTGAAGATGTGTGGACTTCAACTCCCAGAATTCCTCAGACAGACAGCATGTAGGAAGTTGAAGTCCACACATCTTCAAAATGACACGGATGAGAAACATTGCTGTAAGTCAAAGGGAAGCATCAATAAAGGAGAATACCTGCAGCTCAAGGCTGAAATGAGGGTCCTTGGTGGTCTTTGAACTTGGTTGTTTTCTTGCAGACATTCCATTACCCAATTAGGTAACATTCCAGCAAGTATTTCCCAATTCTGACCAGAGATGCTAAGGAACGATCAGGACAACTGAACAAGGCACTCAATACGACAGGCATGTCAAATTTGGGACATCACATGACGTCACACGACGCATCACAACTTTTTCCCCATTGCCGGCAATGGGGTGGATGCGGTTTCAGTATGATGCATCCGGCCCATGGGCAGTAAGGTATGTGCCCTATAACTACAATAAAGCCTGTCCATCTTCAGAACAATGTAAAAAAACGTAATGTAAAAAACAATGATTTGCATCCAAATAAAAGCCTCTTATATGTGCAAATCATCCTCCTGCTTAAAAATGATGGGAAGCAGCTTCAGTGATTCATTGCCAAATCCCACTACATTGAGAAGAACTGATGGCTAATCAAACCAGATTTGCTAGCTGAAGGACACTGGGAAGTAATGGGAAGCAAGCAAGGGGGAGGAAGGTCTATTTGTTATGTAGATTTTCAACTAAAGGTTTTCTGCATCCCATCCATCCAACAGTGCTTCTATTGTCTTCATCTGTAGCTACAAAAATGTGACTCACAATGTATTCTCATAGAAAGGTGTTCAGCTTTGCAAATATTACCTGCAAAGACACTGGGCTGAAAGGACAACATCCAGCAGAGTGTGAAAGTATACAAAGCATCATTTATTCAATGGGAGCAATGAAGCGTTAGAACAGGGGTTCTCAACCTTGGCAACTTTAAGACTTGTGGACTTCAACTCCCAGAATTCCTCAGCCAGCTTTGCTTTGCTGGCTGAGGAATTCTGGGAGTTGAAGTCCACAAGTCTTAAAGTTGCCAAGGTTGAGAACCCCTGAATTAGAAGGGGCGTTGTCTTACCTGAACGCCTTTTCTCAGCAGGATGATGTAGAGTCCAATGGATGGGTTCTATGACAGCCTTCCTGCCTGGCAGACTGGGTAAAAACTTCGGCCACACCCCTTCCTGTGGGCGTGACCCCAGTTTTGACTTAGGCGAGAAACTTTGTTGGAATTAACATTGCAGCTCTTTATTATATCTCTGCCTAGACCTAACCCCTGGGTGGGCTTGGACTCTACATCATCCTGCTGAGAAAAGGCGTTCAGGTAAGACAACGCCCCTTCTCCAGCAGGATGGCTGTAGAGTCCAATGGATGGGACATACCAAAGCCCTCATGTCCCCCTGGGAGGGAAAGTCTAGGCTACCGAACTCTGAGCAGATACGACTTGTTGAAGGACTCTTCTACCAAAGGCCGCGTCTGCTGCTGCAAGGGAATCTAAACGGTAATGTCGAATGAAAACCGAAGGTGAAGACCAGGTTGCGGCCTTGCAAATTTCTTCTACCGGTGCTTGTGTTAGCCACGCCGCAGATGTGGCTGCGCTCCGAGTTGAGTGGGCAGTCACATGAGTGGGTGCTGGCAGATCCTGCGAGACGTAGGCTTGTGCTATGCAGGCTCTGATCCACCTGCCTATGGTGGAAGAAGACACCTTCTTTCCCATAGTTGATGGTTGAAAGGACACAAATAATGCTTCAGTCTTTCGGAAAGCCGAGGTGCGTTTCACGTAGAAACACAGCGCTCTCCGCACATCCAGCTTGTGCCATCTATGTTCTAGCCTATGTTTGGGTTTTGGACAGAAATCAGGAAGAATCAGTTCCTGAGATCTGTGAAAGATGCTATTTACCTTCGGGATGAAGGCCGGATCTGGTCTAAGAACGACCTTGTCCTTGGAGAAGGTACACAGGTCCTTCCTTACTGACAGTGCTGCTAGTTCTGAAATTCTCCTTGCTGAAGTGATTGCCACAAGGAAAGCTACCTTCAGCGATAGGTGATGAAGAGAGCATGATTCGAGAGGTTCGAAGGGTGCTGATGTCAAGGCTAGAAGGACCTTAGGCAGGTTCCAAGACGGGTACCTGTGTATGACGGGGGGTTTTGTGTTAGTTGCCCCTTTTAAAAAGGCATTAATCGCTGGGTGTTGCGCTAGGGAGGTTAAGTTGTCGCAGGAGAGAACAGTTGAGAGAGCCGATATCTGTCTGCGAATAGTATTGACTGATAGGCCCTTATTGAGACCCTCCAAGAGGTAATCTAGGATATTAGGGATAGATACTGCGGTCGGATCTAGACGGAGAGGGGCGCACCACCTGCAAAACCCCTTCCATGTAGCGTCGTAAATCCTGTTAGTGGACGCTCTTCGTGATGCCTGTATGATTGATATCACCCCTGCCGAATAAGATTGTTTGGCTAAGCTCTGCCGCTCAAATGCCAAGCGGCTAGTTGTAACCACTGGGGATCTGGGTGCACAAGCTTACCCTGGCTGAGTCTTATCCTGTCCGGGGGAATCCTCTACGGGGGTGATATCGAAAGGTCCACGAGGTCGGCAAACCACGGGCGCCGTGGCCAATGAGGGGCAATGCAGACTATCTCTGCGCCTTCCAGGATCAACTTGCGTATGGTCGCCGGTATTAAGGGCAGCGGTGGGAAGGCGTACAGGAGTTGTGCCGGCCACCGACACCTGAGAGCATCCGTTCCCTCCGATCCCGGAGACGGGAATCTGGAGAAGAACCTGGGGAGTTGTGTGTTCTTGTGATTGGCAAATAGATCTAGATGCGGTTGTCCGAATCTCCGGGAGATCTCCTCGAACAGAGCCGGATCCAGACGCCATTCCGACTGGTCCACCTTGGCTCTGCTCAGGGAGTCTGCCTGGGTATTCGTCTCCCCTGAGATGTGTTCCGCTCTGATGGAACTCACATTGGCTTCTGCCCATCGAGCCAGAGCCAATGCCTCCTTCATCAGTTCCACTGATCGTGTTCCTCCCTCCTTGTTTACATGTGCCTTGGCTGCTACGTTGTCTGTTAGTACGAGGACGTGCCTCCTTGTTACTAGGTGTGAGAAGTGGCGAAGAGCCAGGTGGATGGCCCGGAGCTCTAGCCAGTTGATGCTGCGTGACAGGTCCTTCTGTCCCCACTGGCCCTGTGCTATCTGGGTTCCCAGGTGGGCTCCCCATCCGACCAAGCTCGCGTCTGTCATGAGTGTGACCCTGTTCGGTTCCCTGAATATGCTCCCCTTGAGTACCGTGGGGGATAGCCACCATTTTAGTGATCTCATCACCTGTACTGGTACCAACACTCTCCTGTTGGAGGTGCTGAGGTTCCTCCTCTGGTAAGGTAGAAGGAACCACTGCAACTCCCTCGAGTGGAGCCTTGCCCATGGGATGATGCCCATGCAAGATATCATCTTTCCCAGGAGTTTCGAGAGCTGTATCAAGGGCACTTTCCTGATCTTTTAATTTGGTGAATTAGCTTGGATATGCTGATCAATCGCTCCTGGGAAAGGTATACCCTGCACTGTGACGTGTCTATCACTGCGCCTAGGTGTTGAAGTCTCCTTGAGGGGGTGAGGTGGCTCTTGCTTAAATTGACCGAAAATCCGTGCCCCTGTAGGGTTCGGATTGTGGTTCTGAGATCTGCCCTTGCTTGTTCCTGAGATCTGGACTGAATCAAGATGTCGTCCAGATAAAATTGTACGCGAACCGGCATCAACCTGAGATGGGCTGCTATTACAGCTAGGATTTTGGTAAATACCCTTGGTGCTGAGGATAGCCCGAAGGGTAGGGCCCTGTATTGGTAATGCCGGCCCGCGTAGGTAAATCTGAGGAATTTCCGGTAGCTGGGATGGATGGGAATGTGTAGGTACGCCTCTGTGAGATCTAATGAAGATAGTAGATCGTCTTCCCTGACGCTGGCTAGGATGGATTTCAAGGAGTGCATCTTGAACTTCCTGTACTTTATGTAATAATTCAGGCCCTTTAGGTCCAATATTGCTCTCCACCCTCCTGATGTCTTTGGGATAACGAAGAGGATGGAATAGAATCCTCTTCCTTCCTCTTCCTTTGGTACCCTCTCTATGGCTTGAATTGACAGGAGGTGAGTTATGGCCGAAGTTATCAGCCTTGTCTTGTGTGCCTTTCTGGAGATGGGGCATCTGATGAACCGGTTTGGTGGAGGAGAGCAAAAGTCTAAGGTCAGGCGATGCCTGATCGTTTCCAGGACCCAGGCGTCGGTAGTGGTCTGCTCCCAGACCTCGATGAAGTTTTCTAACCGACCCCCGATGGGAGTGTCCTGTTTGGCGTCACTTGGTACGCTTAAAGGATCTGCCTCCCGCTCCCCTATATGGACGTCTGGACTGGAACTGGCCTCTGGCTCCAGTTTCTTTCTTTCTTTCCACGCTTTGTCGATCCTGGGGTCGATCCTGCCTCGGGTAGAAGGATCGTGAGCCTCTGGGCCAGTCCCAAGATTGCCCTGATCGAAAGGGTTGTCTCCATTCCCAGGGGCTTCCTGAGCGGAAGCCCTGTCTCTGGAAATCTTGACTGCCTCTCCTGTCTAACTTTTTTGATGGATGTACTAGGATTTTCTTCTTGTCTCTGCCTTCGCTGACATGTGGGTCCAATATGGACCCAAATAGGGCTTCTCCACTGTATTTGGACGTCGAGAGGCGCCATTTGGACCTCAGGTCCGTCTTCCAATTTTTGAGCCACAGTAACCTACGCGAGGCCACCGTGGCCGCAATGGATCTTGCCGCATACTTCGTTGCGTACAGTGAAGCATCAGACACGAATTGAGAGGCCGCAAGGAGCTTGGCCAATGTTTGGTGTACTCTGACCTGGTCTGGAGGCACCGTGCCCTGCAGTTCCCTCAGCCACATGATACAGGCCCTCGCGAAGAATGATGATGAAGTGGCTGCTCTGGCCGCCCAGGCTGCAGCCATGTGGGAACGACGGAGGGAGTGTTCAAATTTTTTCTCCTCAGGTTTCAAGACCTCCGCCATGTCTCCTGGAATCGCGGAGGTAGAAAATAATGAGATCAAGGGGTTATCTACAGCAGGAACCTCTAACATGTTCAAGAAGGAGGGAGATAGGTTGAAAAGCTTTCTTTCCACGCTATTAGGTGCCGGTGGGCTTGCAAGTGAGGATCATTGTTCCTCCACCGTGGTCATGAAGACCTCCGGGCATGGAATGTACTTATCCTGTGGAACCTTTTTGGCAAATAGAGGATTGGCCTCCTTGCTTGTAGTGGGTTTCTCTTCCTGTACTGATGTCAGGCTGACCGTAGAGACTGCCTTTATCAGGAGTGATTTTAGAAGCGCTGGATTAAAGAGGCCAGAGCTCGTCGCCTGCTCAGGTGCGGTCTCCTCATCCTCCGAAAGGGGCATGTCTGACATATCGAGGTCTAATGAGTCACCCTCTCCTATCTGAGAGGAAGTCTCAGAAATGTTGGTAGGGGGCAGCCTAGCTCGTCCCTTATGGGGTGTGTGAAAGGCCACTTGCCCCTTGGAAGCCATGAACTGGGAAAAGGCATCCTGCATGAATGCCTGAAATTATGCCGACTATATGTTCTCCTGCGCTTTGTCACTGGGGTGACGCGCTGGAGTGTGGTCAGGTGAAGAAGCTGGTGAGGAGGGATTGGAGGAATCTAACTGTTCAGTTTCCCCAGGAGGAGACCAAGTCTTGAGCACTTCCTCGGCAGTAGGTTCTGTGCTGGGTGCCACCACTGGGACAGGGGAAACCATATTTGTCCCATTGGAATTGGTTCTCTGTGCTCTGCTAATTTGTCTTTCTAAAGCCAAATGTCTCCTCAAAGCCTCTCGCTCAGCCGTTTTAGATTGTCCCTTCTGAGTGAGGTGCTTTGTTTTAGCCTTCTTCTTCCCCCCCACCTCTGATTCAGAAGATCTGCGTTTTTGTTGCTGCTGTGAGGGGGACAATTGAGGGACCTGTGTGACTGAATACGAGACATTGTCTGCCATTGTGCCAGACACCCCGAGTAGGCAATGCCTGGAGCAGGGGGATAAGATACGCAGATCAGATGCAGATACTTGGGGCTGTTGCCCTCTTCTGCCTATACAAACAATGGCCGGACAGGCAGGGTCCTTTGGACAGAAGATCCTGCAAGGCAGTGACTAAAGGTCGCTATAGGAACAGTCAGATAAAATATTCCTCCTCACCTCCTCACCTAGTCCAGACAAAGTGCAGTTTGTATCTCTCTCTCCCCCAGTCTGTGGCTGTGGCAGCAGACCACGATCAGAACGGGTGATAGTTCTCTTTCTTTTCCCTCTTCCTTCCTCTTGCCCCAATGTTTGAGGTAACCTCAGACCCTTACCTAAAAGATCCCTTCTTTATCTGCCGGGAAATGGAGCCCGGGTGGTAGCCCCACCCACAAGGGAAAGAAACGGCGGGTTGATCCGCTTGTTCAAAATGGCGAATGGGAGGAAGCCACGCCTCCCAATAGTAGCCTGGGGAGCCACGAGGTTCAAGCAATGGCGGATCTTTGAATTCAGCAGTAAGGTAACTCCTTTGGCCTTAAGGGGGCTGCGCCTCTCCTCTGAGGAGAAAGAAAACAGCGCTGGGCTCTGCTCTTGTCAGGGCTGCTTCTCGCGCCGCTCAGCTGATCGATGCCGAGCGGCGCCGCGGGTTGCCGCTTTCCCGCGCAGCTCAGCTGTTTCGCGCTGAGCGGCGCCTCGGTCCCGTCGGCCAAGCCGAGTCGGCCACTCAGCTGTTTGGCGGGCCGCAGGGCGACGAACAGCCCGGTGTGAGGTCCCCGCGCCAAACAGCTGCTCGGCGGGCCGGATATCGGCGAGCGATCCGGCCCCGTTCCGAGCTTCCCCAGCTAGCCGCCCTGACGCCCCACTCACAAATCCGCCGATCCTGGCTGCACCCTTCAAGTCCTATCAGCTGCCAGAAGGCTTTTCTTTCAAATGGAAGGAAGAGGGGATTCCTTTCTCTCTCTTTGAATTAAATTCCTTTTGTCCTGAGAGCTGCTTCTCGCTGCTTCTACCAGGCTTTGAGACTGAGTCAAAACTGGGGTCACGCCCACAGGAAGGGGTGTAGCCGAAGTTTTTACCCAGTCTGCCAGGCAGGAAGGCTGTCATAGAACCCATCCATTGGACTCTACAGCCATCCTGCTGGAGAAGGAGAAGATTACACTTTCTTCTCCATTTAAGGAACGGTATGAGCCAGAATGGCAAAGTAGACATGCCAGCAAGCACAAGACTTTAAAGTAGCATCCAATTAAGTGTGGCATCCCAGAGGTAAGACTTGTTGAACCATCAGAGATTTCTGTCACTGGAAGAGGAAAGTGGATTTGGGCGTGGGGTGGGGGACTATTTTCCTTTCCCCTACTGCACACATAATATTCTGACAGCAGATTGAGGGGAGAGGGGGTACAGAGATAAAAATAGTCTTTATTTCTTATTCCACTGGCAAAAATCTCATTGGATGGCAATCTGTCAGTAGTCACCTCAATTGATTAGAAGTCAAACTAATTTATCTTGATCCAAGCAAGAAGAAAAAATGACGATATCATTACTGGGAAAAGACCCTAAAGTATGCAGTTCTGGAAAGATGGCTTCAGCTGAAAATAGCTATAATCTTACCTATATTTAGAGCATAGTTTTTTTTTTTAATCCTGTGTGTCTGCTGTAGAAAGTGACAATATAGGCAAGGGTGGCTGGGGAAAAAATAAATGTTACCAGCCACTAAATAGAGTGAAGCTACTGCTGCCCATAAGCCTTATACATCCAGAGACAGGTTTTAAACCCAGCTATGAGTTAAAATATTTATTGGATCTTTTGGCTGTCACGTTTAGTCTGATTCTAAATTGTTTCTACATTTGAATGCATTTCTTATTTCTTTTTGCCTTTTTTTGTGGATCAAATATACAGGTAGTCCTCGACAACAATTTCCGTTGCTAAACAATACCATTGTTAAACAATACCGTTGTTACGAGAGTTTTCTCCATTTTATGGCCTTTCTTGCTACAATTTTAAGTGAATCATGCAGTTGTTAAGTTAGTAACACAGTTGTTAAATAAATCTGGCTTCCCCACTGTCTTTGCTTGTCAGAAGATCGCAACGGGGATCACATGACTCTGGAACACTGCAGCTGTCATAAATACATGTCAGTTGCCAAGCATCTAAATTTTGATCACACAACCATGGGGATGCTGCAATGGTTATAAGTGTGAAAAACATCATGTCACTTTTTTCAGTGTTGTTCTAACTTCAAATGGTCACTGAGGGAATGGTTGTAAGTCAATGCTTGTAAGTCAAGGAATGGTTGTATTCCACTTCTTACTGCCTTCTAGGGTATTGCTGTTTTATATCTCTTCTGGTTTTGTAGATCCCACAACTACAAGTTGCTGCTAGGAAAAATGAGCATAAACTTCTATGTGAAAATTATTCAGGACTGAAACTGCCTTGTTTTACGACATGCCTCCTACTATTGTGGCCTTTTTTTAAAAAAAATTAAGAAGTAAAGACCTGGAGAAAATTATAATATGTGTTAAGCCCTCATGTTTTTATAAGCTCTAGAAGTGGTGGGCTACTAACAAATAATTGCTGATGAATAGAGTAGAGTAGAGTAGAGTAGAGTAGAGTAGAGTAGAGTAGAACAGAACAACTTTATTGTCACTTTAAATGTATACTAATCAGCATACGGTACATTAAAATGAAATTTCATTGCATATAGCTCTCAAAGGGTCACCACCTCCAATATACACTACATAAATATGACAAAAAAGTAATTTCTTTTGCATATACCCACTTATATTCTATGACACAGAGAAACAACATAGTCTGTTAGAATTAAAAATCTAATAATGAGCTTATAAATTCCTAAGTAACTAGTTAGTAAAAAAAAATTATTGTTAAAATAATAGTATTAGCTTTGGGAGAGCACAACAACAAAACCAGGGAACAGTTTGAACCAAAGCTGCTTGATCTGATCATATAAATCCAAAATTCACATGTATCACTAAGCTGCTTATAAAATTATATTGCAATTATTTCTATACATCTACTGTTTTGCCTTCTTTTGGGAAATTTAGAAAGAGTAACAGCAGAGAAAGAGGACATGCACACTCTCTTAACTGACCTTCTGAACAGTGGTGGTAAGATCCAAGCACAGCTGAATGACTTTATTCTTTGTCACAGAAAAGTCAGCTATCCCAGTAAACGGAGTCCTGTGGTAAAAAAAAAAAAAAAAAAGAATGTGCCTTTAAGGAAAGAAGAGGCCACACAACAACAGTCATTACTAGAAGCTTAGTTTGTATGACAGTGTTACTACAGTATGTATTGATTATCGTGATTTATGCAGGGCGATCATATCACTTTTCACGGTTATTTACAATAGTTCATAATCAGAGTTTCAACTGGGGATTTGCTGAAGACTTCTACATCTGGGGAAAGGCAGGATCCATTTTACTTTAGTTTTCCAACTAAGGTATCTCTTGTGCAGAAACTGAGCAGTGGATTTAGGAACAAGAGTTCAGAAGAAACAAAAGGGCACAAGTTCTGACTCTAATTCTCTTCCCTGATTTCCATATTTGTGGAGTTGTACATTGGAAAGGATATATTCCTCTTGACTTCGACTCCAAAGCCTACATTAAAGATTTAAGGTAACTTTCCTTATGCCATTGCAAGCTCAAGAGAGCAACCTTCGTACAGGTAGTTCTCGGCTTATGACCACAGTTTAGCTCAAAATTTCTGCTCCTAAGCAAGACAGAGGTTAAATGACTTTTGCCCCATTTTACGATCTTTCTTGCCACACTTATTAAGTGAATCGCTGCAGTTGTTAAGTTAGTAACCCGGTTGTTAAATGAACCTGGTTTGCTGGTCAGAAGGTCGCAAAATATGATCACTTGACCTCGGAACACTACACCATCCTAAATATGAACCAGTTGCATCTGAATTTTGATCACATGACTGTAAGGATGCTGCAATGGTTGTAAGTGTGAAAAACGATCATGAGTCAACTTTTTTCAATGCTACTGTAACTTCAAATGGTCACTAAGTGAATGGTTACTAACTGTATTATGTGTGGTGAAAGGGGAGTTACTCCTAGTAATACAATATACAGATCTGTGAAACACTGATCAAAATTTATGAGGCATGACAGGGAATTTCCGTAGATGAATAGAGAAAAACAAAAGTAAAAGCAATTGTTCCAGGAATGTAATTATTATCTAAAAGCTAAGCTTGTTAAACTAAACTTCAGTTCAGATTAACAGTTATTTGTTAAAAGTAACCAACCTAACACCTAATACCAAGAAAGCATCAATGCCACTCAAGGGAAAAGAAAAGTATTTTCTCAGCCTGGTTAGAACAAGTTATAACCACAGTCTGTAACAGGGTGTTTTGAGAAGCAGAAACCTCTCACTGGGAAAAGATCTCCACATCATCCTTGACCAGAGGAGCTGAATAAAGAATAGCTTTTTTACAAACATAAGATTGACATGGATGGTATCTGTTTGAGGTTGAAAGCTAAGCAACACTGGACTTTGTTAACAGCTGGATAAGAGACTACAAAGACATCCCAGGGTTAAAGTTTACACTGGAAAAGAACTGAAATACAACCTCCATCTCCCCTACAAAAAAAAAAAAAAAAAATCCAGAAGAAGAGAGTGACAAACTATTTCCATATTACTATCTATATGGAAATGTTCATGAGGTCACCAAATGTTGAGCCTAAATTGAAGAAGTCTACTCACAGCATTCATCTTGAATCGGTACAGTCCATTCTGACTGATTATGGCTTTCTGATCTAAGGTAAACTCCCACTGCAATCTTCCAATGAATTACAGCCTCTTCCTATTTAAATCTTACTTCAGGCCTATCTCTATGTGCCTACAGTTAAGTTTATATAGGTACTCCAAAGCCCGTCACGAAATCAATACACTTGACCACCATTAAATCAAAGACCACCATTCTTAAGACTGAAATACAAGAATCAAAAAAGATTTACTTTGGAAGTAGCCCACCATAAACAAAACGATTATCATGACATGAACCCAAGTGACAGAATAGTATTTGGAAGGAGTGACACATTTCACAAGCCAAATTCCTCTCTATTCTCTGGTCCATATTTACATACAAAATTTCCTGATGTTGAACATCTTATTAATGAAGGGGAACTTTGTCTGTATAGCACATTTTACTTTCATTGATTCCAGGTTCAAATGTGGGGCCATTTGCTGAAACTGGGAAACTAAAGAGGTGTTGCCAGTCAGCAAAAGACACATACTGAACAACAACAACCTTTGATAGAATGAAGATTCTGAAGAGGCTGCATTAAAGCTTGTGGCATAAAGTTGGATACATTGCAACTCAGTGAAAAAAGGAGAAGCGATGTTTTCAATAGGCAGCCAATATAGATCAAGGGAAGAAAAAAAGAAACAGACAGAAACATGGGAAAAAAGGGAAATCCAGCAGAAAATAGTAGCTATTTGTAGTACATGTCTATTTACTTGGTTATAAGCTCTTGTTATGGTCATTTCATGGGTATCATGAAATGGTATATAATATCAGCTCAACTGGATGGCTTAATGGTACAATGAACCTTCCTCCACTAACAAGAGTCCTTGAGCTTAATATAATTGAGAATCTACAAAGTGAGTAATCTCTCCATCTTGCAAGAATCCTTAATATATCTGCCAGTAATATATCCAGCATACTTCATTCCTTTATCCAAACCAGTGTTTCTCAACCTTGTTGATTATAAGAGTTGTGGACTTCAACTCCCAGAATTCCCTAGTTGAAGTCCACACATCTTCAAATTGACAAGGGTGAGAAATGCTGCTGTAAGCCAGGGGTCTTCAAACTTGGCGCTTTTATAACTTGTGGACTTCAACTCCCAGAATTCCTCAGTCAGCGTGACTGGCTGAGGAATTCTGGGAGTTGAAAGTCCACAAGTCATAAAAGGGTCTTCAAACTTGGCCCTTTTATGACTTGTGGACTTTCAACTCCCAGAATTCCTCAGCCAGTCACGCTGACTGAGGAATTCTGGGAGTTGAAGTCCACAAGTTATAAAAGGGCCAAGTTTGAAGACCCCTGCTGTAAGCCAAAGTAAAGGGAATATTTGCAGTCTAGAGTTGAAATTAGGGGTCCTTGGTGTTCTCTGACCTTAGTTGTTTTCTTGCAGACATTTCATTGCCCAAACTAGGTAACATCACTGATATGCAGCACTGATGATGTTACATTTGGGTAATGAAACGTCTGCAAGAAAACAACCAAGTTCAAAGAGTAGCAAGGAGCCCTCAAAGAGAAGTGTTTTCTAACTCTGTCCCCAGACATTATTTTCTCACAAATTATGCATTAAAAGCAGCTAAAAATGCTCCCACTGCCACAGCATCACCAATTGCCTCTCACTCAACCTTTTCACATAAGAAAAAATGATTCTGATTGATCTGTGGGACAAAGTAAACAAAGACGAACACTTGGCTAGGCTAGAGACGAAAACATCACTTATCTCTTGGCAGCAAAACCAAGGGATACAAATTAATGAATGCCAACATCCACTGTGTGCGTTTGGTTTGAAAAGTCAATTTTGATAGCAATTTATACAATTTATGAGCAGCCCACTGAATTGCAAGGTCCTACATTAAAATATAAAGTTATTTTTTAAAGACAATATTTGTATTTAATCTCACTCTAAATATAGAATTGGGCTGGAAAACAAAAGCCCTTTTCGAATGCCAGTCATCTGATTCTCTCAGTATCTGCAGGAGAGGTCAAGGCAGAGACAAAATCAACTTGGGAGGTAAAGATGGTATATGAGCTGCCTTTCATCCTGTGGAAGCATCTATCTCCTTATAAATCCAGGGAAAACAATTGTACTGGGAAGCTCCCAACACTCTAAACTAAAGTGGGGAGTCTGCTCCGATGTAGCAGCCATCCTGCTAGAAATGGCTGCTCTGAAATCCAGAGAAAGAAAAACATGGAGTCCTTGGTGCAGAGGTCACCAACTTTTTCATGCTGGCAGCCCGGAGGGAAAGGGAGCAGGTTGGAAATTTGCATGCACGCGCACACATGAATGGGGCCGCACGCACCTGCACAGGGCTAGCAGTCCCATTTGTGCATGTGTGCAGGCGCTAGCCATCACCACTACTAGCGCAAACAGGTCTGTGATCTCTAGCGCCAGTAGGGGTGAGTGTGTGCACACACACATGTGCACCCTGGCCAGCCTGTCCCGCGGCCCGGTGGCCAGTAGCCCATGGTCTGGCAGTGGGTCGCGGATCATAGGTTGGGGACCCTTCCCTTAGTGTTGTCTGAGTTTGGTTGTTTGCTTATAGGGATGAATGCCGCCTGTCCCCTTGGTTTTAGTTTGTATTTAAGTCTTCTTAATCTTATCTCCTTTTATATTTATATTTTTACTATTTTGGAAGCCACCCAGTTACTTTATTGGTGAGATGGGCAGCATATACATTTAATAAATAAGTAGTTATCCAACTATGTAACATCATCAGTACTAGTGAGCGTGAGGTTTGCTCCAAGTATATATACAATATATACACTTCCTCCCACTTCCTGCTGATGTGTGTGTGTGTGTGTGTGTATATACACAGAAAAAAGAACATACTTCAAAATGCAAAGCTAAAGATATTTCCCTGATGCCCCTTGTACTCAAACAGCAGTTTTATGTGAGTGACAAACTGAATGGGCCCTCTGCTTCTGCACTGGTTAAAGTGATGGATTACAACTTGGGAGACCCAGAATCGACTTTTCATTCATCTATGAAATTCACCAAATGATCTGATGCAGGACGTTTTTCTCTCAAAATAAATTGCTTCAGAAGGCTCTTGAAAGGACAAATGATATGTGCAGTTTGGATCTGAAACAATCAAAGGGCTAAGGATTAGCACCGGGCCCCTTGCTGTACTGTTTTTGCAGCTCCTTGAATGAGCCATAACTTTACCTGGGCTGATAAGGTTTGGACTCCAGAAAAGTTTGAGTTAAGGATATTTTTGAACTGAACTATTTTCCTAAGCTTGCAAAGCTGGTGATCAAGCTGAGGATTTATGGGATTACCAGAAAGTGCAGCAAGGTAACTGATGCCAGATCTGAACTACTGTTGTCTGGTTCACCTCCAATATTGCACACCAATAGTTTATTGAATGTTAATTCTTCTGCCCTTGGTTATGTCTTACAGTGGGAAACTTAGTCTAATCTTTGAATATAGTTTACAATCACAAAAATGCAAGCATACGTCTCTGCTTGCAGAAGAACATTTCAGCCTTCTAGATACGTAGGTAGGTACGTAAGTAGACAGAGAGGTAGAAAGGAAGGAACAACAAATATGACCCAAGTCTGAGAACAAAGTCCAACTGAAGGACATTCTGAAGTCTCTCTCACAATGTCTCTCCTCTACATTTCCTGTCTCACAAGCTGGAAGGATGCAAGAGGTTCTGTGCTACCTCCAGACAAGGGCAGGATCTTCTCACTGTCATCTTCCACTGCAGTTGTCACTACGCTGTAATCCAATATTAACTAGAAAGTAAAGGCATTTCTCCCAATATATTTCTCTTTAGGCCTCTGACTTGGTTCCTTTCACGCCCTGGTGAGGAAACAGGCAATCCAGGCTGCAATTTGGCATCTTCTCACCTGGGAACAATCACTACTGCACGCAATCACACTGCCTTCTGAATATTTCTGTTTAAGAATAAATTGCAAAATGTAAATCAGCCTAGTTACCATAATAAGGAATTTGGTCGCTTATAGGTGACCTGTGTTAGAAAAGGGAATCCAAGGGAGATAAACAAAAAAACAAAAATATATATTTCTGTTGGCTCACTCAAATATCTGCCTTGGCAAAAAGATGGGCGAAGAGGGGGAAAAGAGCCGAGGTGGCGCAGCAGTTAGAGTGCAGTACTGCAGGCCACTTTAGCTGACTGTGTTCAGCAGGTCAGCGGTTCAAATCTCACCGGCTCAAGGTTGACTCAGCCTTCCATCCTTCCGGGGTAGGTAAAATGAGGACCCAGATTGTTGGGGGCAATGTAAATATATATATATACATTGCTTACTGGTGTACACCGCTTAGAGAGTGCTTGCACTTAAAGCGGTATATAAGTCTCATAAATAAATAAATAAATAAATAAATAATATCTTACTACTAAGCCAAGAATAGATCACATGAATTACCTCCTTGTTTCCAGAGTTTAACAGCATACAGATTCTTACCTGTCCAGCCATGTCAGCAGAGCCTTAGCAGCACCAATGAGTTCTACCACGGAGGTAAGGAATTCATTAGGAGGTTTGCGTGAGCTATTCCCATCGTAGTTTGAACTCTTTCTCCGGGTGCCAATGTAGTTTTGCAGATTGTTGGATGCAGCTCGTAACTTAAGAATCAAGTTCTTCATGTTGTCTGTTTCAAGGCCATAATTCTACAGAGAAGAGAATAATTTTTAAAATGAGTGTCCTGGTCTCTCAAAATGTTCACTGAGCACCCAACGTGGAAGCAAAGTTAGATTATCAGGCGGCACATACAACGCTCCATAAACCTGCAGACAGGCAGTCCTCAATTTACAACAGCACTGAAAAAGTGACTTATGTTTTTCACACTTAACAACCCATTGCAGCATCCCCATGGTCACATGATCAAAATTCAGGACACTTGGCAACTGACTCATAACTATGACTGTTGCTGTGTCCCAGAGTCATGTGATCAGCTATGACCTTCTGACAAGCAAAGGGAACGGAGAAGCCACATTCACTTAACAACCGCAACGATAAACAACTGCAATCATTAACCGCAATGACTAACAACTGCAATGATTCACTTAACAACTGTGGCAAGAAAGAAAGGTTATAAAATGGGGCAAAATTCACTTCAACAACTGTCTCGCTTAGCAACAGAAATTTTGGGCTCAGTTGTGGTTGTTAAGTTGAGGACCACCTATATTTTTATTTGGTCAGGCAGAAGTTAAAGGAAAGGTCCATGGTTAGCCAGTCAATACTTTAGTAATTCTTTCCTCCTCTAGACCAGAGGCCCCCAACCTTTTGGGCACCAGGGACCGGTTCCATGGAGAGGCGTTTTTCTGCAGACCGGAGGGTGCATGGTTTTGTGTGCTACCTACACCTCGCAGATGGGGCTTTGCTAGTTTGTGCGGCCCGGTTGCTAGCATGCCGCGGCCCAGTACTGGTCCACGAACCGGGGGTTGGGGACCCCTGCCCTAGAGGAACCAAACTCAGTTGTCTTCAGCGAACCTTCCAATGCAAGAGAATCCCTTCTCTTCTCAGCCAGAGGACTAAGAATTCTGAGACGGCACACAAACTATCCTAAAACTGATAAAAATTAAAGCTGTGCTGCCTTCCCCAGATTCAAAGGGGAAACATTTCTTTGGAGTGCTAATGGGCAGTAAGTACAGGTAGTCCTCAACTTACAATAGTTCATTTAGTGACTGTTCAAAATTACAACAGCATTTTAAAAAGTGACTTATTAGACATGGGAAGGCCTGGAAAAAAACTGGAGAAGGGGGGGAGGAGTTTTTTCCCCTTTTTCCCCCAAAGCCTTTTGGAAAAAAAATGGGGGGGAACCCTGTTTTTTCCCAGTTTTTCCAGTTTTGTACCCATACTTTCCGATCCCAACTTATGATCATTTTTCACATTTATGACTGTTGCAGCATCCTCTTGGTCACATGATTTACATTCGGATGCTTGACAACTGACTCATATTTATGATGGTGGCAGTGAAACAACTGGAGCCCCACTTGAACACCATTGGCATTGACAAATTCGCTATTAGTCAATTACAAAAGGCGGCCTTACTAGGAACTGCTTCCATCCTGCGACGATACCTGTAATACCATCAAAGATCCACATCTGCCTATCCCAGGTCCTAGGTAAGGACTCGATAGGTAGACAAAATGCCAAATCTGGCTGACTGTGTGATGATCCATAATAATAATAATAATAATAATAATAATAATAATAATAATAATAATAACAACAACAACAACAACAATAATAATAATAATAATATAAAAAAGTTGGAAGGGCCCTTGGAGGTCATCTAGTCCAAACCCTTGCTCAGGCAGGAAACCCTATACCATTTTGGACAAATGGCTGTCCAGTCTGTTCTTAAAAATCTCCAGTGTTGGAGCATTCACCATTTCTGGAGGCTGGTTGTTCCACTGGTTAATTGTTCTAACTGTCAGGAAGTTTCTCCTTAGTTCTAGGTTGTCTCTCTCCTTGATTAGTTTCCATCCGCTGCTTCTTGTCCTGCCTTCTCACAGGCAAAGTCAATGGGGAAGCCAGATTCACTTAACAATCGCATTACCCAGTTTAACGACTGCAGTGATTCGCTTAACAATTGTGGCAGGAGAAGTCATAAAATGTGGCAAAACCCACTTAACAAATTTTTCACTTAGCAACATAAATTTTGGACTCAATTGTGCCGTAAGTCGAGGACTCCCTATACTATCTGAGTGCAACTCTTTAAGTTGCAACAATGTCTTTTCCAACAATGTCACTATAGCTGTGGGGAAGGGAGGCACAGATGTATGATTTACAGGAAAGATGCAGATCTGTTAAGATACCATGTGGCCACTCCTTAGACCAGGGGTCCTCAAACTTGGCCACTTTAAGACTTGTGGACTTCAACTCCCAGAATTCCCCAGCTAGCATGGCTGGCTGGAGAATTTTGGGAGTTGAAGTCCACAAGTCTTAAAGTGGCCAAGTTTGAGGACCCCTGCCTTAGGCACTGTGAAATACCATTTAGCCTTTGAAACCAAAGAACTGCACAGCCTACACTCAAAACCATCTCATGAGCTGGAAATGAAACTTAAATCATGCATTTTCAGACCTTCTACATGAATTGATTTGATATTTTAAAGCTGTTAATCTAACATCTACTTCCTTGTAAGGAATCTCCACTGAATTTAATAGGATTCACTTCTAAGCAATTATGAATAGGATTATCCTACCAAGTCAGCAGTTGAAAATTACCAAGAGGGTGGGAGGAAATATTAGTTTTAATAACTCAATTAAAATCATACTTTTGATTGTCAATATATGCTATTCCAAATATTGCCACATTAAGTTTTTTTACAAATTAAATTTGTTGCAATTAAATGTTGTGTTTCTATTACGGCATGTCTTCGTGCATATTCTTACATCTGAATATTTCTATGCTCACATGAAAAGATGCTCACAAAGAAAGTTAGCTAAACACAAGCAAGCAAAGCTAATTCAGTGCTAAAACTTTTCAGAAGCAGGAATGCCAATTAACTGATAAGATATAGAATGATATAACTGATAAGAGCATAGAATGCTCTCAGATTTATAGACATAGATTAATTACATGTTCCCTCCCTCTCACCCCAAAAAAGACAAGAGGCACTACACTATAGTCTTGCTTTTTAAAAAAATAACATAAAAATACAATTAAATTTAGTACCTGCTCTGGCATTCAGTTTAAAAGGGAAACTAAATAATTTATACCTGTGTCAGCATTTTATTTTAAATTAGAGAAACCGATTTAAATAATTTCACAAAATTCTTTCAATCAATTTTTGTTCATCTATGTGACCATAATTAAATCGCATTTCATGTATGATATTTGATTGATTGATCAATACACGCTGCTTCAGACACTCACATGTGTCTAAAGTCATCCCTGGAGGTGAATTTAATCCTCTTAGAAGGATTAAAATAATGGTTATTAGTTCAAAATCAGGATCAGTTCTGTCACCCAAATTATTTTGTCTCAAACTACAAGAGTCGCCTCCATGAAAATTGAAAGAAAGTACAGGGATATGTTAAAGGGAGAAAGTAATACTTACATTTTTTTTCTACCAAAGTATGCATGTCTGCATAGTTAAGTGCAAAGCATAAACGCTAGAAAAACCATCTTAAACCAGTTCTAAAAACATTTGGGGCGTGTGAACTGAAGCAGTAGGTTAATCTACAACAGCAGTTCTCAACCTATGGGTCGCGACCCCATTTGGGGTCGATTGACCATTTCACGGGGTCGCCAAGCAAGGCTGTCCGCCATTTTTTTCCCCTTTTCTGGCAGGTACCTTACCTCCCTTGGGCTGGGCCAGCTGGTGGCCCAGCCGGTGGTCGGCCTGCTCCGTCTCTGCCGCTTGCCAGCTACGCCCCGGCCGGCGCAGGAGGCGGCACCACGCATGCGCGGCTCTCCCGGGCAGGGAAAGTCCTCGAATTACGACCGGTTGGGTAGTCCTCGACTTACGACCGGTTAAGTCCTTGACTTATGACCGGTTTAGTCCTCAACTTACGACCGGTTGGGGGTTGCAGCATTAAAAAGGTTGAGAACCACTGATCTACAAGAACCCACTCCAACCAATAATAATTGCACCAAGGAACAGTTAGGCACTAGCGGCTAACTATATAGCAATAGCACTTAGATTTATATACTGCTTCACAGTGTTTTACAGCCCTCTCTAAGCAATTTACAGAGTCAGCCTACTGCCCCCAACAATCTGGATCCTCATTTTACCGACCTTGGAAGGATGGAAGGCTGAGTCAACCTTGTTAGAGTTAGCCTGCAATACTGCGTTCTAACCTCTGCGTCACCATGGCTATATATGGCCAAACAGAAGTTGCCTCTTTCCCCTTTGGCAGGATATCTTTACTACCAAATTTGAACTTAATTTGATCCTGGTTTGTTCATTATGCGCACATGTATTGGCAAATGCATTTGCTTAAGTCTAAGTAATAAGTAAAAAACAAACACAGCTACTCACATAGAGAGGTTTAGATCTGAAGCTCACATTTGCTTGTGTATATAATTTTCCATCATTTTCATTTCTCTTTATTACTAGCCATGCTTTCTGAGACTAGGCTTTCTTTCTTCAGGGTACAATTAAAAAGCAATAAAAGATAAAGATTCCCTCGAGTCAAGTCAATTCCTTGTTACCTTACAAATAATATGTCCATGTAGTTTGCTTCGTATCAATTTGGAAGTAGTGTGCTATTACCATCTTCTAGAAAGTTGTTTACAACTTCCCAGGACAGTCTACAGATTTGGGTCTTGTGGGTGGTCTCACATCCAAATAATAAGCAAATTATACTGCTTAGCTTTTTCCATATCATCCAAGTGTGTTCAGGCTGTTATGGATTAAGAAATGAAAACACCCCAAACTGGATTGACCACATCCTCCAATCCTTTACCTAACCAAATTCTCTGATGGTAGTTCATCAGCCCTCTGTTGGATCACTTTTTGGTTCACATGTCAATCATTGCCTTGCTTGCTTGACCTCCACACCAATGCTGATGAATTAAGATGGAGTAATTTAGGCATAAAATGGTCTAAATTATTGCCAGAAGACACTTGAAGCTTTTTCCAATGATCAGATCTGCTGTATCATTGTGCACCTGGTTCTTTGGAATTAAAAGATGACTAGGCATCGTTGTCCCTAA